TGCATTCATGGAATAACCCAGTTTGCTGATAGGACACTGAATTGAACACCAGACTACAAAGCCTGAGGGTGTGTTCTCCAAGACTGTGCTCACTTCAAACACCAGCTACAAGTTTGGGGGTCCCCAAGGCCATGCTTGCTTCATACCAGCTGGCTATAAACTTGAGGGTTCCAAGAGACTCCCTCAGGTCTGATCATTCAGTAAAATGACTCACTAAACTCAAAAAAAAAGCATTACACTTACAATTACAGTCTTCTCAAAGGACACAAATCACCAATAGCCCAAAGTAGAGACACAGCACACGGTTTGGGAGGGCCCAGAACATGCGCTTTTTCCCGAGCCTCAGGATGTAGAGTTTTTACTGCTGTTTCATTATGCAGCTAGGACTGGACCACTGACCACGTGGCTGACTTCATAGTCGAGCCCCTCTTTCCCTGGAGAGACAACTTCCCTCATTTAGCTCAGAGTCCCAACTCTCTAGTCCTATAGCTCGTCCTTCTGGAGCAGCCAACCCCCATCTGGAATCATCCCATCAGGATACATTAACTAGGAGCCTCTTGAGTCATCTCATTAGCACGAATTCTCAGGTGGGGCTTGAGGGGCCCACTTCAAATAATGAAGACACTCGTGGGGCTGAGTCTGTGGCTCAGTGGTAGAGCACTTGCCTAGCGTGAGTGAGGCCCTGAACTGTAGCCACTGCACCACAAAAAAGAAAAAATAATTATAGTAAAAATAAAGCTACTCGCATCACTCAGGAAATTCCAAGGTTTTAAAGGTTACCTCTCGGGAACCGGACCAGAAACAAGTCAAATTCTCCCTTATACAGATGTGTCATCCTTTCTAACGTTGCTGGATTGAATTTACTAATATTTTGTTAAGGATTTTGTGTCTATGATCCTGAGAAATATTAATATGTAGTGTGTTAAATTGTGACAGATACTGCTCATCAAATTTTAAAAGCTCCTTATAATGCTAGTTTGCTAGGCATTTTAATCATGAAGTGATGTTTGACTTTTATTATATTCTTTCTCTATTAGGATGATGATGTAGTCACATTCCTTTAATTTGTTAATATGATGGATTCTGTGAGGAGATCTAGTGTTAGCCAATTCTTCACTCTTGGAAAAATAATTTTTAATGCTATTTAAATTTTCATTTTTAAAAAAATCCATTTTAATATCAAAAATAACAGGAATGCTCCTTTTAAAAAGGTGAAATCATAAGCAAAATAAGCTAGATTCAGAAAGCAAACTATCATATTTTCTCTTATATGAGAAACCTAAAATATAAGTAGATAGATAGATAGATAGGTAGATAGATAGATAGATAGATGAGAATTGATGGGAAACTTCAAGGGAGACACTTGGAGCCGGGGTAAGAGATTAGGGATGAGGAGGAAAGAGAGAGAGGGGTGAAGGGATTAAAAATGACCAACTATGTGACATGGGTGTACCAGTTCCCCAAAGGAAACATCACTATTCTGCATTACGAACATGCAAAAGAGAGAGGAAAGCAAGCAAGCAAGCAAGAAAGAAAAAAGATTTAACTGGAAATCTCCAGCACTGTAAAAACTATTAACTGAAATTATATTCAATAAATACATTTGTCATCTACTTTGTCCTTCTTTCTTGTCACTAAAACACAGTTTCAGACACCCACAGCCCTAAGGAGGAAAGGTTTATTTTGGTTCACAGTTTGTAGATATTTCAGTCCATAGTTGGCTGGCTCCAAGGCAGGACAGCACGGTGTGGGGCAGGACAGAGAAGAAACAGCTCACGGTGCGGTGGTGGCCGTGGTAAGCAGGAAAAGATCTAGGGAGAAAGGAAAGAGATGCACCCTTCCAGGCCACGCCCCCACGTTCCACCTCCCCCAATCAAGCTTCACCTCTCAAGATCGTATTTAACTATAAACATATTAGTAGATTAATCCACTGATGAATATCACACCCAGATGATCCAAGTACCTCCCAAATCCCCACCTATGATCACAAAAGATTTTGGGGGGCATCCAGATATAAACCATAATATGCTTTTTCAACTGATAAAAGTGTTTTTATATCATGAAACTATTTTCAAAAATATGATTATAAGTAGCTGCATAACAGGTTATCCTAGAGGTATTTATATTTAACCAATCCCTTATGGTAACATTTTGATTGCCAATTCTACATGATAAATTAGAGGAGCAAAAAAAAAAAAAAAAAAAAAGGAAAGCCATTTCTGTATATTTGCAAATGCACAGCATGCACCTGGATAGATGAATAAGAAATTCATTATAATGACTATTTTAACAACAAAGAAAATAAATATTTATTTATTTTTAAAATTCAAAAGTAATTTTAAAAAAGAACAGAGGACCAAGTGGTCAGAGGACAAGGGGAGCACATAATGCCTAGTACTTTCTTGCCTGTTCTGGAGGCATTTAAATGCTTTTGAAAATATCATGCTACAGAAAATGCAGGAGGGTCCCTTGTCCACACCCCCTAATTCTTTTTCATTCGAGGCCTTCCCACAGGTTAGAGCTCTATGGGTCTGAAGTACTTCTTCTGTGGAATATTTTTTGCATTTGTAAACATGTAGCATTTTGAGCTTAAGTAAAAGAAGCTAGTAGTGTATTCCCTCACGCTTTCCCACCCTGTTGTCCAATAAACATGTACACACTAGGATATGTGTGTGTGTGTTAGGCAGACCACACCACAGATAAACATGTAAGTCTGCTTTTTTGCTTCAGAATTTAGAGCTCCTCCTTTTTTTTTAAGACAAGTTCTCTCTGTCACTCTGACTGGCCTTAAACTCACTATCCTCCTGTCTCGGCCTCCTGCGCTCTGTAATAACAGGCAGGTACCACAATGCCTGGCTTCTCTCCAGCCTTCTAATAGCATCACAGCATTCTATCCTACCAAAACACAGTTCTTCCTCCACCTGCCCTAGAACTTCTCTATGTTGCCACACAGAATGAAAGCAATGAAACTCTTACTTCTTAATGTGCTCACATTTTTTGCTGTGTTAACAAATACCAAACTGATGTGTGTAGTGATCATACCAGTGTCCTGAATGCACCAGTAGAGCCTTTTCTCCAGCCTACACACAGTCTTCCTGCTTGCTGCAACCTTGACGGAGAAACCCTCTTGCTGTGGGTCTCCGAGAGTCAGTGTGCAAGTGCTGGGAGTTGGGTGGCCTCCAGAGTGACAGAGATGGTGTAATGATAGGCTGTGCAGTGTCACAGTGGGTTGGAATGAGTGCCCCCGGACAAGAGCGAGGGGAGGGAGCTGCAGGTGGCAGCCAAGCTGAAAGCAGCAATTTAGATGCATTTGGTCTTCATCTCTGCTTCTCCATTAGCACAGTGACACCCAGAAGTCCCTCTGGAAGACCTGGCTACCCTTTTCTGGCAGAACTCACCTCCTAAGGTCACCCAAGCTTGACAGTGGTCTGGGTCATTTTCATTTTCAAGACTCCCAGCAAATTAAAAAAGTGAAATGGCCAGCAGGGTTAGCAAAGCTGTATGTATAATATGGCCTCTGAACAAATACATAGTTCTAACAAATACAGAGCAATGTAATTGCACTGGTCAAAGATAATGACAGGATTTACAAACAACATTAATTCATAATGTACTACAGATGGTACGGTCCAGGAATGGAACACACACTTAACAACCATCTGAAAAACAGCTTTCTTTTTCTAGTCTGCCATGATGGTGCTATAACCGAATGAAAAAGTACCTTCCGAGCAGGCTAACTTTGAGCAACTTTCCAAACGCGAAGCAGAACAAATGTCTTCCTGCCTTCTCCAACCTACCAAAGCTCCTCTACTGTGGGCAGACAGCCAAGGAAGAGGTCCTGTTCAAGCCTTTGTAGGTCCTGTGCCTGTGCTCACGACCCGCACTTAGAGCAAACTGGGTGCCTTTTATGGTTTCCCAATGTATGCGCTGTTGTTTTCTTTTAGTAAAATAAAGAGAAAAACTGTTGTTTTGCCTGTGGAGCTGTGAAAGGGGAGAGGTGTTAGAGACGATGTGAGTTTGAGGCAGGGAGGGGGCAGGCTCTAAGGCTACAGGTGGATTCTAGGGTACCACAATAGAAGGGAGTTCTTACACCAAGTGGATTCAGGTACCAGATTAAAAAGGTGGATCCTGAACCCAAATGAGGAGGTTTCTAGGCCACAACAAAGATGAATTCTGGAGCATGGAAACAGTAGGTTCTAGGATGGAAACAGATGGGTAGTAGGCAGGCCATCCCACTCCATGCTCCCAGAACCCACCCATGCACTGTTCCCTTGGAGTCCCTAACACACCCCAGAGCCACTCAACTCGTTTCCCACAGGCCGCTCCAGAGCCCCATCCCCACCGCCTCAGGTCCCCTATTGATACAGATATCCTGCCCTGCATTTTTCCTTCCTACCCTTCGGCTCGGCCCCAGCGGGTGACCAGAGGTAGACCTGACAGTGACAGGCGACGCCTGCGTCCTCAGAGCGACACTGGGACTCCCAGTGGGCATGGGCCACACTCGGGGCGCAGCCCGGAGGTAGGCACACGGGTCACAAAAACAAATGACTTTTCCGTGAGCCTGAGGACCCCGTTGGATTTGTGATTTCTTTCCAAGTGCCTTAGAAGTGTGGGTTGGTTGGATCAATCGATAAAGCAAAGAGGAAACTGAAAGACAGCAAAAAAGGAGGAAGCGCAGGAGTGGAGAGGCACAGGGAGGAAGACCCGGGGGGCGAAGGCAGCTGTGCGCGGGACCCGAGGATGCGCACAGGGCGCCATCTGCGCGTCCCAGGTCTGCGAGGAGGGGTGCACGCGCAACCCTGGGGACCCCTACTGGAGAGCGCAGCCCGGCCTCCGGTGCGCCGAGCGCAGGTGCTGGGTGGGGGTCCCGGCCCCGCCCGCCGCCGCCCCGCCCCCGCCGGGCCCGCGCGCGGCATTGTGGGAGTTGTGGTCCCCGCGGCTCCGCGGAGCGCAGCGCGGCGTCGGCACCGGCGGGCACCGGTTCGGCGCGGCTCGGCTCGGTCAGGCAGCGGTGGCGCGGGCCAGGCGGCGGCCGGGCGGGGCCTCCGCGGCTCGGGCAGGGGGCGTCTGCGCGTCCGCGCCCTCGGGCGGCGGCGTCGCCTGGGTCCCCGGAGTCGCCTGCGCGCCCAGGCGCAGGTGAGCGGCGTCTCTTGGGGGTGCCGGGCTGACGGGAGGGACGGGGCTGCGCGGGGGCCGGGCGGCTGCGGCCCGCGGAGGGTGCTCAAGACGCCTGCGTCCGCATCCCGGCCGGCTAGGGGCCGCGGGCCCAGCGCCCGCTACGTGCCGAGCGCCCCCGCCGGGGATACCGCGGCCGGAGCAGGCATCACCAACTACCTCCACCACCTCCTCCTCCTTTTTCTCTTCTTCCTCCTCCCCCTCCTGCTCCTCCTCCTCCTCTTCCTCCTCTTTTCACTTCCTCTCCTCCGCCTCCATCCTTTCCTCCTCCTCCTCTCTTCCTGGTCGCAGTCCCCTCCCCCACGACATCCCTTTCCCTGGAACTACCCTCCCTCTCCTGGCCTCAGCATCACCTACTTGCCATATTTCCCACTGGTGACCCACCTCCCCGTCCCACGAGTTATCTGTCACGCGCCATACACCTTCTTCCTTCATCCTTAGCTGATGGCTCACTTTTCCTGTCAACGCTCATCTTCCCGTTGTTCAGTCCTCCTAAACCCCTGGCCTCCCGGTAGTCACCATCTATGTCTACATTAACCTATCCTCTGCCCTCCCCTCTTTCCCACTCCAGAGCTGGTGGGTGCCGGGATCGCTTGCCAAGGCAGAGGAAGGTGAGCCCTCCCTACAGGAGAAAGGCTGGCCTCTGAGCAACTCTGTGGCTTCCTGCCCCTTGGGGTTGGGGGGGGTCCAGAGACTTGGCCTCACCCTGAGGGTGACCAGAGCTCTTTAGCACTGGACAGCCTCCTGGGCTGGTCATCAGAACACCGTTAACTGGGTCAGGTTGAAGCTGTCTCCCCAGGTGTTCATGGTCCTGAAGTTACATTGGATTGGACTTGAATTTGGACTCTTACTCCCCAGAGCCAACTGACCTTTAAGATCTGACTTTCCAATGTTATTAAAGCACAGCACAGCAAGATGTCCCCATGCCTGAAGGGGATAAAATTGAAACATGAAAATGAGTAGATGTGTGAAGAAGGCTGGAAGTTGTCGTGGTCCCTGAGATGAAGAACTTGGTGGGGGATGGGTGTAAATCGTTTTCCACTTCACTGGAGGTGGGTGGGAGGTCGTCATGGGGAGTGTTTAAGGGTTGTTGGAATCAGTGCTTAATAAAATAAAAAACCAGTCACTATCAACTTGAGGGTTTCTTTCATTGCCACAGATCAGCTATGAACTTGTAACTGCACCTCTGGGGCCAGAGATTTGCTGGCCACTTTGGCTGAAAGTGACTGGATGATATGAAAATTCTGAACTTGACCTGTGAGGAGGCTCTGAAACTGGGTTCAGGGCATTAGGATTTCAGACTGTCTTTCATTTAGGCCTAACCTTCAGGAGGGCTCGTGGCTGGCTTTGTACAGAACAATCTTCCCTGAACCAGAGGAAGGCAAGGGCTGGAGAACTTCTCTCATCATCTGCTTGGTTTCCTTGGTTGCATTTTGATGGACTTGAACTTGAGTGATTAGCAAGGTTGATGGGAACCAACACCTAACAGGTGCATGTAAAGTTACCACCGTGGCACTCTTGGAATATTTTAGAAAAAAAAGAGACACAGAGTTTAAGAGTTCCACTTAAGGGCTTGGCTCGGTGATGAGGAAATTCCTTTCCTAAAGTGGTTGTTATCACACTGATGAGAGTTTCACACTGAATTTCAGGAATCTTGAATTCTGTGTGGAAGACAGCACCAGACAACACACCTTGGATTTTCCTCCCTTTTCCTAAAGAGGAAACAGCTGCTAGTTTATAATAAAAGTAGGAGCAAACAAAGGGGAAGAAAGAGGCACTTAATATCCAGCAGGGCTCAGCCTCTCTTTCATGTGCATTTGAGAAGTAGCTTCTAACCTCCTCGCTCTGGTATTTTTCCTAGAAACATAAAAATCCCCATGAATATTCAGCATGTGTGTTTTTGACTACTAAACATTATAGTCAAGTGATTCTTTATTCAACCAAAACTGGGAAAAAGTCAGTAGGCAGTTAATGAGCACCGAAGGTTTCCCTTTTGTTTTTAGCTTAGCAAGTCTAGAGACAGAAAAATCGCTTGAAATGTGTGACACTGGGACTGTGCAGCACTTATCCTGAGCTGTTGGGATCAGTGTCTTGAGACACCTTGCTTTCTCCACCCACTTCAGTTTGCTGGCTAGTGTGCAGTGCCACAGGTTCTCACAGTGACCAGCACGCCCTGGGTGCTCATTCTATATCATCATAAGTGCTTTCCAGCCGTCACCTTTCACCTGCAGCCAGTGAGATGGATGTTAACCCTACTCAACATCTGAAGAACTGAGACTCAGAGCAGGGAAGTGACGTGCCCGTGATTGGCCTTAATCCTTTGTCCAGCCATCTCCAGTTTGGATTCATGACTTTTCTTCCATGCTGCAAGCAGTTTCCAGGACAGAGCAGTACCCAGGAAAGGGGAGGGTACAGTTTTCTTATTTGCTTAGTTGCCCTCACATTCCTGGCAGAGGAGAGAGTAAAAAATCAGGTTTCACAGTTGCGCTCCTGCAGCAGAGACCAAATGTACAAACTCGTAGTGGAACATAGGGCTCGCTCTTCCTGCTGAGTTGGAACAATCAGGATGGACACAGTTTCAGAGATGCTGGGAAACGTGGCTGGGTTCTCGGCCCTGACTGTTGGGCTCTGATTCACCTTTTTAGTTATCAGAGTAATTGAGGTGCTAGTTGCTGGCCTTGATCTGTGGCAAAACGGCAGGCAAAAGGACTTCTGCATGTGAGAAACCGAGTCAAACCTGGAAGGACTTCTCCTTCCGCGATTTAATTCTTGTGGCCCTTTGGGTGAGGCCAGCAGGCAGTCTCCAGCTGGATGGCAGAAAAAGCCCTGGGTCTGCCATGGTTTTGACCCCAAAGTACCCACCTCCTTTTTTAACTTGGTATTAGCTTAACTATTGTTAGAGGCATTCCAGATCAGATAAGAATGAGGTGTTTGAGAATAAAAAATAAATAGCATGTAATTTTAAAGACTTCTTTGCCATTTGTAAGATGCTTTTGAATCCAGCTTTCTTCTTGATAAAAGATACAACAGTGAAAGGAGAATAAGCATGTAAAACAGTACAGCAAACTACATAGATACAGAATTTGAAGACAGGTGAAGTTTTTGTCGCTGGCTGTGTGACTTGAGTACATTATGTGGCCTCTCGGCCTCATTTTTGTCATCTGGAAAATGGAGATAATAGCACCTCCTGTGGATGGCACGGTGTGGGTGAGGCTGCTGAAGTGGGCCAGCAGTCCTAATGCAGATGATGCGCTGCTGGCCTCTTGGGAAATGGGATAGTTTTAAAACTGAGGGAATATACAAGATTGCAAAGAGCACCCCATACCAAGAGCCTTCTGAAATGAGACCTTGAATATCTGTTGAGGCATAATATTTATGGCGTGTCTTCTTTTTCCAGGTTGAGACTTCTAAAGCACCCTTTCACAATGGGCAAACCTACTTGCTAATGGGACATCAGCCAGCTCCTTCACCTCACCTATAGTGACTTTTACAGAGTGGAGTGAACTGGTGACCCGGCCATCAGGCCTCATCATCCACCCATGGCACCTGTGGCAGGACACGAGGAACAGTGGCAGCCATGCCTCCCCCTGCTGTGGCCACCCCTTACCCCCTGCGCTAGCGTGCATGGTGTGGAGACCTGTGGGACCCCAGAAGACTGACTGACCTGCCTTCCTACCCTCAGTAACAAGCCCCACAAGATGTCGCTTGAGTGGCTAATGGCCTGGAGCTGGTCCCTGGACGGCTTGAGGGACTGCATTGCCAGCGGCATCCAGTCCGTGCGGGATTGTGACACCAGCGCCGTGGTCACTGTGGCCTGCCTACTGGTCCTGTTTGTGTGGTACTGCTACCACGTGGGCAGAGAGCAGCCACGACCCTATGTCTCTGTGAACTCGCTCATGCAGGGTGCAGACGCCAATGGGCTGCAGAACGGGTATGTGTACTGCCAGTCCCCTGAGTGCGTGCGCTGCACGCACAGTGAGGGGCTCAACCAGAAACTCTACCACAACCTGCAGGAGTACGCCAAGCGCTACTCGTGGTCTGGCATGGGCCGTATCCACAAGGGCATCCGCGAGCAGGGCCGCTACCTCAACAGCCGGCCTTCCATCCAGAAGCCGGAGGTCTTCTTCCTGCCCGACCTCCCCACCACACCGTACTTCCCGCGGGATGCACAGAAACATGATGTCGAGGTGCTGGAGCGGAACTTCCAGACCATTCTGTGTGAATTTGAGACCCTTTACAAAGCTTTCTCAAACTGCAGCCTCCCACAGGGCTGGAAAATGAACAGCACCCCCAGCGGGGAGTGGTTCACCTTTTACTTGGTCAATCAGGGCGTTTGCGTCCCCAGGAACTGCAGGAAGTGCCCACGGACGTACCGCTTGCTGGGAAGCCTTCGGACCTGTATTGGGAACAATGTTTTTGGGAATGCGTGCATCTCCGTGCTGAGCCCCGGGACTGTGATAACTGAGCACTACGGGCCCACGAATATCCGCATCCGGTGCCACTTAGGTAAGCTGCGGGTACGTGGTCCCTTGGCATGCACGTCCACATCTCAGCCCCACCGATGAAAAGGATGTGAACGCTGTGGAGCTCAGCCTTTGTTTCACTGTGGTTTTATTGAAAATTAATAATTATATGTAAACAATTTTGATAGCACAAATTGAGTCCCCAGTGAAAGCTCAGATTAGTATAAGCCTTTTTTTTTTTTTTTCCTAGGACTAAGGATTGAACCCAGGACCTTCACACCAAGCTATATCCCAGCCCTTTTTCATTTTTATTTTGAAACATGATCTTGGCAAAATTAGTTGCCACATTGCCTGAGATGGGTTCAAACTTTCGCTCTTCCTGCCTCAGCTTCCCAGAGGGCTGGGATTACAGATGTGGAAGTGCACAGCACATCAGACTTGTTTTTGGCAGTGCTGATGATGAAACCCAGGGCCTCGTGTATGTTAAACACACGCTGTACCGGCAAGCCCAGTCCCTGTCCCTAAATCTAATTTCTGATAGAAGCTCTGTAAACTCTTGTGATGATGAAAATGTTCTCTGCCTTTACCAGACCCAATATCATCCCACTAGCCTTGGGTGGCCATTCAGTGCTTGAGATATGGTTAGTATGGGGCTGGAGGCACATCTGTGGAAGAAAGCTTGTCTAGTATGTGCAAAGTCCTGGATTCTATTCCCAATGCTGGGGAAAAAAAGATTTGCAAAATATGGTTAGCACAACTGAGGGGCTAAAGTTCTGGCTTAAGTTACAGTGGTCACATGTGGCTCTGGAGCCAGAGGCTGTTACAAAGATCACTGAGGTCCAGATGACGTCCAGGATGCTGTGAAAGCTGCTTAGCACCTCTTGAGTCACCGAGGAGGAACTGATACTGGGTGTTAGGGATGTTTTATTCAGATTCTGGCAGTATTGGTAATACATATATTGTGTGTGGGTAGCAGAGGTTTTGCAAACAGCGTCTGCAGTTAGATCAGCTTTGTTTGTACCCTAGCCCTACCACCAGCTAGCTGTGTCACTTTGCCCAAGCTACTCACTCTCTGAGCCTCAGTTTCCTCACTTAGAAAGTGGAACTGGAAAGATTCTCCTACCCAGAGTTAGCCTGAGAATCAGTCCAGTCAGAGAGTGTGTGTTGAAAGCGATCACACAGAGCCTGGTACAGAGCCAGCCCTCAGTACAGGCTGGATCAAACAGCTCCGTAAATAGGGCAGTTAATCCTCCAGTGCCTGTGCTGCCTGGTGCCTGGGGCATGGAAGCAGAGGGCTGGCTCCTGGATGATAGCCTTGCTGGGGAGCATCCCAGACGAGAGCGTGTGGTGGCAGGCATGGCACCCAGTACTGCCTTTGGGGTCTGGCAGAGGGGACAGCAGGAGGTTCCCTATGTGGGCTGGAGTGGGGTCCATCAGTGTCATTTTGTAGTATTGTGGATAGAACCCAGGTCCTTAACAGAGGGGTACCCATAGGCCCAAGACAACTTTTTCTTCCTAAGCCAGAGGAAATCAGACTTATTTAGGTGGCTGTTTTGAAGAGCTGTGCATCTGAGCCATACCCCCAGTTCTTTTTATTTTGAGACAGGTTCTCAGTGAGTTGCCCAGGATGGCCTTGAGCTTGCAGTCCTCCTCCCTCAGCCTCCTGAGTGGCTGGAATTACAGGTGTGTGCCACCATGATGACTTCAGTGTGTTCTGCAGGGAGCCTCAGGGCTGCCAGGGAGCAATCAGAGCAGGGTACTCCAGGCCTCGCACCTCTGCTTTACCCACAGGGACCGTGCACCCCCACACCCTCTGTGCTCTGGGTGCAGATTCTGAGTAGGATGTGGTTTGCACAGAAGACTTTACTCCTTAAAAAGAGGAAGAGATAAGTAATGGGAACGATGAGAGCCACAGACATGGATATTTCGAGCCAGTGCAAGGCAGGCAAAGGGACAATGGCAGAGTCTGAATTCATGGTCAGCTGTGAGCCTGGACGGGTGACTGAAGTCTCTGGGACTTGGTGCCCGGGCTGCAAAGTGGAGACAGTACTTAGGGCACAGGGTTGCCGAGAGGGTTAGAGAAGTCAGGTTTTAAGCGGCTGCTTGCACAGCGCCTGATGTGTGACGCAATTCAGTCAGTAAAGAGTGTAAAAGATCATCTGTGCAACATGATCTGTGCCCTCAGGAGACAATGGAAGGTGAGCGGGCATGGGAAGTCACCAGACCTGAGTAAGGGTCCCATTTACCCCTGCTTATTCAGCGTACTTCGTGAAGCTTGCGATGTGGCACCTCCACTTCTCCATAAGCTGGAGAGAATCAGACCTATCTGGGGGCGGTTCTGAGGAGCGGAAGTGTTACGCGTGATGTACCTGGCAGGATGTTAATCTGAGTGGTGACCATGGTCAGTAAACCTCTTGAGAGGGCACTGGGGCATGCTCTGAGCAGCAGGTACACTCCAGGTGACAGAGTGGGTGTCTGGGTAGTGAGATGGCCCCAAAGGATGAGGGGTGTGGAGGAGCCAGGCCTTCCCTTGCGTCTTGTGGCAGCTGTGTCTAGGCTTTGCTGGTGTGGGCTGAGATTGGCTGATGGTGTGGCGAGTACAGGGAGCCTCAGTATTGGGCAAGAGACTTGGCAATGGGAAGTGATGCCTTTCATTTCAGAGGTTTTCCTTTATGTTTCTTTGTTCTTATTTTTTGTGGTGCTGGGGATAAAATCCAGGGGCCCCTGCATGCTAAACTGAGTTGCATCCCCAGGCCCTATATATTTTTTTTAAAGCTTCCAGAATGATGGAGAGGGAAAGATGCTTGAGGATCAGTGGGACAGAGTTCCAGGGGGAGAAACTCTAGGCTTTACTTCCCGTGTATTAATGTGCCTTTTGTATGTGTACACTGCAGGTTGTGTGTAAACACACCCACAGGGGCACTGGTCATGGCCTGTCATTCCCTTGGCCTGGCAAGTTAACTGCCAAGCCCAGTGCATGCTGTGTGTTGCCCACACAGCAAATATCCTTCCTGGAAGCTGTCCCACTGGGGTGTGGCTGCTGTTTTATGGCTAAGGCCAGCCCAGAGGTCAGGCTTTCTCAGAGTTTCCTGCTTTACATGACCAAAGCCTTGTTAATATGCACCCAGGAAGGAAGCAAAGCTGTGTTAGGCTCCCATGACCTTGTATGTTGACAGAGGAGGAGTCAAGACGAGGGCAGAGGCAGAGGCAACTTGAGATGAACCTGTCTGAGGGCAGAGGAGACACTTGCAGTCCCAGAGCTGTGCTCTCGAGATGCCAACTCCTCTTTTTCTGCTTCTTGCTGGGTTGTACAATCATTGATGGACTTGTCCCTGCGGACCATGGCAGTCCTGTTCATTCCTCACTTACCTGCTCCGTTGATTTGGTCCTCATCTGCCAAAGCCTTGCTATGAGCTGCCTCTGGAGGGGTTGTCCCCACTCCATGTGGAACTACAGGACAACTCCTGGCCCAGCTACCACCCGGCAGAGTACACGAGGCTGGGATATGCCCACTGCGCTGCCACAGACTCCCAGCAACCTCCTCTGAGACCTAGAACTCTCCAGGCATTGTCACTAGGGAGATAGATACCACATGAGTGTGCATTCATGTGCTTAGCAAATCCCAGCTCCACAAACAAAATCAGGTGCCCGTTTGTCTTTTCTGTAGATGTCAGGTTTCTAGGCAGTGAGGCTAGTGAAACCAGGATCAGCTTGAGTGTACCTGCCCCTTCCACGTGTTAGCTCCAGCCTCCTGCTGTGGGGGCCTCTGGAGGACAGAGCCCGTTTTCCATCCTTCTCCTTCATCCTTCAGGGACCAGTGGCAAGAAAGCAGTAAGCCATAAGCCATAAAGGAGCCTGGATGTATGGGGCCGTCCAAGGCTGTGTGTAGGGCTTGTCTCTATCCCAAGAGCTCCCAGGTACTCTGCTGGGGAAGTCTTGCTCATTACTGCTGGCTAAGCTGGTTGCTGGGCTTCCACAGTGATGGGCCATTGGCAGGCTGGGAGGATAAGGAAGACATTAGGGAGTCCAGCCAACAAGTCAGACCATTTCTCTTGCATGATGGCACATAGCAGTGAGTCATGTAGCAGCCCAGAGGACAGGTAGACTCGTTTTGAGACCCCCTGAGCTAGACTGTCCCTGCAAACAAGTCCTCAGTCCAAAAGGCCTTCTCTGCCCATGCTAGCCAGCAAGGGCACACACAAAGCAAATGTAGCTGGCAAGCCAAGTACCTTCATGCCCCTAACTCCGCCAGCTGCTGGTAACAGAAGCAAGAAGTCACGGTTTCAGGGTCGGATGGATGGTCTCAGCTTCTTTAGTGAGATGAGCTGTGGAGAGTTGAAACATGCTAACTCCATGAAATTCAGCAGTCAGTCCACTGCTAATAACCTGCAGCTAGTAGGCGTATCAGATGGACTGAGTGCCAGTGAAGACTAACTAGTAACTTAGAAGGTCTCATAACCTGCTCAGTTATCCTGTCTGAGATGATGGTATGATGTTGGAAAGGTGTTTATTCAGCATGAATCTGCACAGTCAGTCCTCAGTTATTGGTGACAAGCATGAAAGTCATGTAGCAGCCTTGGAATTAAGTAGACTAATGCAGTCACTTTACAGGTGACAGTGGGACTCCAGGAGGTTGAGTAACTTGCCCGAAGTCACACAAAGGGTCAGAGTCCAAAGGGCAGTCTGCTCAGGTGCGACCTTAGGGGTGTCCCTACAGTGGTGCCAAGGAGATTACGCTGAGTTGTCCATCGAGCCTCTAGATGTGTTTAATGGTAGGAACTGAAAGAGGCAAGCTCCACGTGAACCTGTGTTTTCAATCACAACAGAACCAACCCTAGAGATGGGTAAGTGATGGACAAGGCTAGTTCAAGCCTGACTCCCTTGATTTCCTGGGACCCAGGAGTTTCACAGATGGATCGTGAGCCTTGGCTGTGGCTTCGATCAAGGATGCCAATTCCTGGGATGAAGGAGCACACAGAAGCAGAGGTTTTTCCCAGAGGACTTTGGTGCTCAGCCTGCTGTCCTCATCCAGGGAGCTGCTAGGACAAATACCACAGACCAGGTGGCTTGTAAACCAGAGATGTATTTCGCACTGTTCTGAGGCCAGAAAGCCAAGGTCAAAGGGCTGACAAATTGGGCATCTGGTGAGGCTGAGGTCCAGCATCTGATTCATAGACAATACATTTTTGCTGTATCCTTGAGTAGCTGAGAGACATACTCCCTTGCACCCCTACCCTGTGGTGTCATCTCTTCCAAAAGCCCTGCCTCCTAACACTGTCAACCCAGAGCTTGGGATTTCAACATAGGAAGTACAGGGGCTCAGATGTTCAGAGCCTAGCACAGGCTCTCTGGGGATGAGCAGGAGGCCAGTGCTGTGAAAACTGAAAGCCTCCCCGACACAACCAGGCTTCACCTTCTGCCTGCCTGGATCCCACCAGCCTTCACTCTCTTTTCTCTTCTTCTACTAGGTCTGAAAACTCCAAGTGGCTGCGAGCTGGTGGTCGGGGGCGAGCCCCAGTGCTGGGCAGAAGGCCGTTGCCTCCTTTTTGATGATTCTTTCCTGCACACCGCATCCCATGGAGGTGGGCATCAGAATTCCCCATTCTTTTCTTTTCTTTTTTTTTAATCAGTAAACTTTAAGAAAAATTTTAGATTTCCAGAAAAAAACTGAGCAGAAAGTACCAAGTATGTGCTTTCCCATCACCCTCTCCCTAACACACACACACACACACACACACACACACACACACACACACAGTATTTCCCAGTCTGTGGTATTATAATTGATGAGCTGTATTGATATATTATCACTTGACATCCACAGTTTACATTAGGGTTCATTCTTGATGTTTTTCTTTCCGTGGGTTAGAACAGGTGTTTAAGGACATGTGTCTACCACACCAGAGCCATGCAGAGTAGTTTCCCTGCCATATTCCCTCCCATGCAACCATTGCTGGAACTAAACAGCTCATACTTACAACTTAAAGGAAGAGAGGTCTATTTGGCTCATGGTTTCAGATGTTTCAGTCCATGGTCAGCTGGCTGCAAGGCAGGAACACATGGTGGAAAGGTGCGTGCGGCAGAGCAAAGCTGCTCCCCTCCAGACAACCAGGAAGCAGAGAGCAGGGGAGCAGCCAGAGAGAGAGGAGAGGGCTGGAGATAAGCACACAGCCTGCACAGTAACGGTTCAGTGACATGCTTCCTCCTCCCTCCAGGACCCACCTCTTAAGAGCACAGTTAGCTATGAACTCATCCATGTATTAATGCCCTGTTAGGGTTCCCTTCAAAAAGCCCCACCTCGAAATATGTGAGCCCTTCGGGAGGAGACACTTCATATTTAAACCAATGATACTTGCTCAAAAAGTCTTCTGCACCCCACCAGCCCCTCCTCCCTCCCTCTCCCTGTTCCTTTCCCCCGACCTTTCTCAGAGCCTCATGAAGCCATATGAATGTTCCCACTCAGAGACGGGAGGTCTTCTGGTCTTCCAATCCATGCCCCCGTGCCAGGGTCAGGGCCTGCATGGACTGAACCTCTCCTCTCCCCTGCAGGTTTGGCGGAGGATGGCCCACGGGTGGTCTTCATGGTGGATCTGTGGCATCCCAACGTCGCAGCCGCTGAGCGGCAGGCTCTGGATTTCATCTTTGCCCCAGGACGATGAGGAAATTGCTTATGTGGGAGCTGGTGAGGGGCGAGGAGCCCAGGTGGCCATGGGATGGTCCAGCCACGCCTGAGCTTGGATTCCATGCTCAGAAACCTGTCTCAGTGGGACCCTCTCCTTGGGATTTCCTGTCATAGGATCCCTCTTCGCTTTGGTTACTGTAAATGGAAAATTTTCAGCTTGTATTTCCTTTGATTTTTTTCCCTTCCGATCATTAGCTCTTGAGATTCCTTTCTGGCCTACCAGTGTGTCCCTTTGACTCTATGATCAGAGACTCGGTGCCCCGGTTGGTCTTGTTCCATTGCGACTTGGTTTTTTTTTCAGTGTTCTGAAATAGAGTAACCAAACAGTTCCCTGTCTGAATGTCATCATGTAAACTTCTTGTGGTCATCTTCAAAGAAAAACACAGGCTGGAGAGCTGGAGAGCTGGAGAGCTTCACTTCTGATCCTGGCATCTAGGAGGCCTTCACTACCCCAGGCAGGGACCATCCATAGTCCATGTACGTGGCCAGTGGGGGAGGTGCTGCTGGACAATTTCAGAGGTGTTCCAGGATGGGCCCTGGGGAGGCTGTCACCATTGTTGTCTCGCTCCAGACTATTAGGTCCCAGCTTGCAAGAATGCAGGGCTGGGGTGACCAGAGGCCTTTCTGTAAATGTGCTTTCTAGCTAAGCTGAGGCCTGTGTCCTCAAGGGTCAGGTTGGGGCTCCCCCAAGTTGGCTATAGATGGGATCCATTTACCTCACCTCACTGCCTACAGAGCCAACTGCCACACTGGGCCCTGATGCCTGCTGTTCTAGCTGCTTTAAGTCCACAGAGGTGGAGGTTAGAGCACCGAGTGGTGGGGGCTGTGCTGGGCTAGGGCCTCATGATTGCCTAGTGATGTTCCAGAAACACTTTTCCATGGCAAACTGGAGTCCTGGGTCTGACCACCATATCTGACTTGCTTTGCAGTTCTGTCGCCTGATTTTCACTTACCTGTCTATAGGTAAATGCTCAGACCTTAGACTTGGAGACAGTGGAAGGGCCAGTCTGGGTCTTCCTCATTGCAGAAGGGTATGTACTTAGTGAGAGTAACCCAGACCAGTGTGTGTAAGGAGCCCTGGTTCCTGTGCTGGCGCTTTGATCTCTTATGAAGGACACTCAGATCTTATCCCAAAGGGAAGGGCCCCCAGAGGCCAGTTTGGGGCCCTGTGTCAAGGAAGCTGCCTCTTGTTTGTTGACATGAGTGTTGTTTCCCAGCCACATTAGTGATGCCTTTTGGAACAGTGTCCAGCCTCAGCTGTAACAAGCCTAGGCATGGATGGAGCTTACAGCTGTCACATGCACTGGGCTGGTGTTTCCACCCACATCTGCTGGGAAAGGCAGCTGTCAGAAGGAAACACCATCCAAAATATGCTAGGTTGTTATTGGCCTGTGCACAAAGAGATCACATCTGATTGAGTTTTAAAATGTCTGTGCAGATATGTTCCAGTAACCAGAAGACAGAAAATGGCAGAAATTTCAAACACACCTGAAGTCTTTGTGCTCATTAAGTCTCTTGTTAACAGAACCACTCAGGTGCATGACTTCTACACATAGCGACCGTTCTGCTCCATGTTTACAAAGCCAACACCCCATTCCCCCCAACCCCTTGGGACCTGGCTGCCACACTGAAGTGGCGCGATTGGGGAGCAGAAGATAAATAAAAGATCTTGCTGAAAACCAGAGTGATGTGGTAAAGTCATCTGTCAGAAAGAAGATGGGGCCTGTGAGTGTGTGGCCCTTGGTTGGTGAATCCTGTCAGAGACAGGTGGGCCACCACAACAGATGGTGGATGCCAAGTGTGCATCTAAAATAATGTGCATGTAGCAAGGGACCTGAGCTCATCTCTGAAATACCAAGGAGCCGCAGATAACAAGCAGGCAAAAATAGGACTTTAGCTTTGGGAATGCCAAGGATTTGAAACTCAGTGGCAGGAGTTCACTCCCCTGTGACCTTTGGCGAGTCCCTGACCTCAAGCCTGCTTCCTTCTCTGCAGAGACAGAACACGGCATGTAAGGGCACAGAATGGCAGTGGTGGCTCCCGTCAGTCACAGCAAAGACAGGATGGAGAAAGAGGCACAGGAAGCGTGGTTCCTTTCTTCCCTTTGTCTCAGAAGAAGGATTTCAGTGATGCTGGTGGCCAGGGACCCCAGCAGCAGCCTGGCTCCTGGCATTTTGCCCATCAGCTCTGTCCCTGCAGTAGTCCCAGCTGGGACGCTGACACAGGTGCAAGAAAAGAGCACCTCTCACTTGAGGCCGAGATGTTTCTCACCCTCCAGTGTGTGCACTGCCAACTAGGCAGTTGCTAAAGTAATTTACATGTCATGGCAAGGGAGGCTCAAGGTGACAAAGGGGAGTTAGCAGCTGTCCAGTGCAAATGGAAACCACTGTCTTCTACCCCAAGCCAGCCCACATGCCTATCAAGTGCCCCTTGTGCCCTTGCAGTCATGGCCAGCTCAGAACTTGATTTGCATACAGTTACTCCCAGGAGTCCTGACCCTAAACCTTTCCTCCCAGGCACCCATTTGTCATCTCCTCGAGTCATGCCTTGCCTGGGTTGTCTTTGGTGACAGTGGTTGATGTGTAACATTGAGTACCTTACTGCATTTAGTAGGGCAGAAGGGCCTCATCCATTGCTCCTTGTCAGGGAGTGTTTGAGAAATGCTGATGCCCAGGCCCTGCACCCAAAACATCTTCCTTCTGTTGTTATAGGACCAAGGCCCCAGCAAGAGTGTCTTTTGTAACTTATCTCCTGTTCTGATATGTAGCTGGGGTTGAGGGTGGCCGCTCTTGAGTAGCAAGGACATTAAAGGTTCCAGAAGTAGCCGGCTGGAGAGTGAGGCCCAGGCTGTGTCCCTTTGGGATGCCGGGAAGGCCCCCAAACGTGGCCTTCAGAGGAGATGCACTGTTTTTACCCCTTCTTGCTAACTGGACCCTGACAAACTTCCTGCAAGACTGCAGCGGCTCTGTGCTCTGTGCTTAGGTTTTAACTCAGCTCCATGCCTGGCTAGTCAGAGCCTCCCAAGCTCTTGGCCACCCCATCAGGTCAGAGCTGGGCACATGATTCACATTCTTAATCCTGGCACTGTTGAGGAGAGGCAACTTCTCACGGGGTGGCATTGGGGATCGAGTGGGGAGAAAACCTGAGCGTGAGCCACAGCGGCAACCAGGTCCCACTCTGGGCAGGTCATCTGGGTCCTGAATGCAGCTTTGCTAAAACCAGCTCTACCTCCGGGCTTTTCAGTGTCATGAGCCATAAACTCCCTTTTTTATTTTTAAGCCATGTTTGATTTCCCCCCTTTGTTGCCAAAAAGTCCTAATCCATTCTGAGTTCCATCTATAAGATGGGCTGGCCTCATGCCTCCTTTCATAGGCTTAAAGCAAGGTTTGGATAATTAGATAATATCTTGGCAGGTTCTGGGAGGATACGAGGCACCGTACGTATTTTTGGAATGTAAACTGGAGTAACAAAGCTAAGTACAAAATGTCGTTGGGATTTTTGTTGTTTTATTCTTGTGGTCCTGGTGATTGAACCCAGGGCTTCACATGTGCTAGGCAAGTGTTCCACCACTAAGCTACATTTAGTACCTTTTACTTTCTCCTGAGACAGAGTCTTGCTAAGTTGCCCAGGTAGGCCTTGAATTTGCGATCATCTTGCTTCAGCCTCCTGAGTAGCCAGGATTACAGGTGTGTGCCACTATGCCTCTCCAAAAGCAGTGTTCTTTTTTTTTTTTTTTTTTTTTTTGTCTTTTTTGAGATGGGGTCTCTCTATGCAGTTCAGGCTGGCCTTAAGCTCACTTTGTAGCCCAGGCTGGTCTCGAACTCACAACAATCCTCCCACCTCAGCCTCCCGAGTGCTGGGATTACAGGCGTGAGCCACCACACCCAGCTAAAAGCGCCATTCTTAAGGATGAGCTTGTCCGCTGCCAGCAAGCTTCCATAATGGCTGACTCTCACTAACCAGATGTAAACAAAAGGAAAAGGACAGAATCAGGCCACATAGTTTAGAGCTTCTGACAGATGGCAGTGAAAATACACAAGCAGATTGTAGCATTAGGTGACAGGAGGCAGCACACACAGGGACTGGATTACTTCCCGCCTCCTTCCTGGGTACACGTGTTGGTCCTGACTTCTGATTATCTGCCCTCCCCAACCCCGCCCCCAACAGGTGCATGCATGAGCCACTCCCTAAGTTCACAGTGAGTGCTTTTCTCAAGTACAGAGAGTGCTGTGTAGCCTGGTGGGGTCCTTTTCCATGTCAGTCCATTCAGTACCTGGGAACCATCGTGCACATTAACACACGACTGAAACCAGCTCAGAATCTGCTCATTGGGAACAAGGCTGTGTAGCCAGCTGGAGGGAGCTGGAACTGGAAGCCCTGTGCAGGCTTGCTTCTCGGTGCAATCGGGCTTTCACGCCCGTGGGTTCTACCACCACAGATCAAAAATATTTGGAAAGAAAACATGTCTGCACTGAACATGTAGACTTTTTTTTTACTATCATCATCCTCTAAACAGTACAGTACAGAAACATTTCCATAGCATTTACACTGTGAGAAGTAAGTAATCCCGAAAGGATTTAAAGTCTTTGGGAGAATGTGCACCATAAAGGTCTTAAGCAGCCTTGGATTTTAGTATCATGGGGCATCTGTCCCTGAAGACACCCAGGGACAACTATCTGCTGAGGTCTGGATACACATCAGCTTCATTCAGGTGTGCAGAGACCTCAAGGAAGCTGGCTGCCTTTGCCACAAATTTCTAGAACCCCTTTTCCTAAGTGCGACAAGAGGCCCCCCTGCATACCTCACTATCTCCCCTTTGCTTTAAAGAGGCCATTGAAGGTCTGAGAAATGAAGTGTCTGTTCCAGTTTCCACAACAGGAAGGAACAGAGCTGTGATATGGACCCAGCTCTGGCACTCAGGCCCCTGTGCCTTGCTGCTGTGGCTGGCACCAGCTGGGGAGGCTGGGAAGGGAGGGGGAAGGCAGCACCTCCAAGCAGCCGGCTTGTCTTGGCCCTCTGCCTTCTGGGCATCAGGCCGGGGAGCACTGTGCCCAGCCACCAGGAGCAGGGCTGCCACTGGGTGTGGACCTGAGTACATTTGGGCAGTCCAAAAACAGCCTCCGGCTTTCTGCTGCCTTCCAAAAGCAGCCTGGATTGGATTCTCAGCAGCAATAGCTCAGCTCCAGTTTGCACATTTGAAGGTGTCCTTTTATTCACCTTAAGGCCTTAGTAGCTCCCTCTAAAGCTCCCAAACTAAATGACTGTTGGGAAAAGGTACAGAGTATGGTCTTTTCCTAAGCTAGGATGACAGACTTTTTTACCCTCCATCTTGCCATCTCCTCAGAGAGGGGTCCTGTGGCTTTCAGAATGGAGAAGCAGAGCCAGGCACCGGTGCCTTCTTGTCCTGTTGCTCCCTGCCTAGGCCAAGCGAGCAGAGGAGGGCTGGGTTCGGGCGTGCGCGTGTCTGTGCATGGCTGTGTTGGGCAGGCAGTGTACACCTGCTGTGATTTCGCGGTGTCTGTCAGCTGTCGGTCTCCTGCTCTCTCCAGGAGCAGGAATCTCCTTGGCTCCTTTCCCACCTGTAGACAGTGCCTGTCACCAAGCACGTGCATCCTTGGCCACTCCCAACCCCACTGCCTCCCGTCTCAGATCTGCCTCAGGGCTAGCCCCGCCCAGCTTCAGGCCACTAACCCCGCTGCCTGGACAGCTACAGCCCATTAGTGCCTGCTCCTCTCTCTCACTCGCTCGCTCGCTGCTTCTCCTCTGGCAAAATCTGGGGACTCTTGCTGAGAACAGGCAAGTCATCCTGCATAGCCTCCCCTTCGCCTGGCATCTCTGCAGACCTCAACCTCAAGAGTCTTCACCTCTTCTGCTGCTCACTGGCGCTCCGTGCTGCACTCCTGAAGAGGAGGGTGCAGTACCAGGGCCGACATCAAGTTTGCAGGTGGGTGCATTAGTTTCCTAGGCTGCTGTAACTAATTACTTAAAATGGTGGCTTAAAGCAACAAAATCCATTCTCTCACAGTTCTGGAGACTCAAAGTACAAGGTCAGCTTTACTGAACCTACCATTGCACATGTCCTCTGCAGGTTCCAGGACAGAATCCATTCCTTGTTTTTTCCAGCATCTAGTAGCCTTGGGCTTCTGGGCTTGTGTCCCTTCGATCTCTGCCTTCCTGTTCACATGGCCTTCTCTGGGGGACACAACTCCTTTGGCATTGCCCATGGAAACACACTGTGATGGCATCGATGGCTGGGCTGGATAATCTAAGATAATCCTCCACCTCCATCCCAGTGCACAGACTTTACCACACCAGGTGGTATTCTCAGGTGCACGACTGGGCACCTGATATCTTTGGGGACCACTGCTGAGCCTGTTCCCTTGAGCCTGTGGCCTGCTGCAAGAAGGCCCACACCAGTGGAAGTGTCTGTACTGACCTCTTTAGGGTCACCAGGGTAACTGCGTGAATTGGGAGGGACAGTTCAGCCACACTGGAAAGGAGCATGCACAGGTAAAATGCAGAGATGCCCACACAGGTGACTGCAACGTGACCTCAGTCTCCACTTGGCAGTGGTAGCAAGTGGTAGTGGCAGCCACTACTCATGGCTTCCACTGCCAAGGTGACAAGAGCAGATGATGCCTAGATGCCTCCCTCGGGGGTAGAAGACAGACTGATTGGGCTGCTTCTCTTGGGATCAGAGGTTCTTTCCCAGTGGGAGTCTGACAGGGACTATTAATCTCTCCCAGGAACGTGATCCTTGCTGTTCACGGGTGACAGACACAGCAGGGACTGACCCAGAACACAGCCTCTGCATCCTTCCCCTCCTGTGTTGTCAGCTGTGCGGTCTGTGGTCCTGGGTTACAGTGGCACTCTAGATGTCAACTGTAACAACGGGGCAGACCATTTTGCAAATGTGTCCTTCCATACTGCCACAGGAAGGTACGGTGCTCACTGTGCAGGAAGAAGCCACTATGGCCCCCTGGGCTGCTGTTTTGAGGACACTTCACTCTTAAGAGGTTAATTTTGAGTATGTGAACCTGGGGCTGTGAATAAGCCACATCCTGACAGCAGCCCTGGGGCTCTCAGATATTGGAACAGGAAGCTGGCGTTTAAATGTTCATTTCCCAGCAGTCTCCAGGGCAGTCACCAAGATCTGGCAATAGCAACCCAGCTGTCAGGCCCCTGGGGCCCGAAGGGCACCAAATGGCACCTCTGCGTGGAAACAAAGCAGGACCAAAGCCATAAAGCCAAGAGGAAGGATGTGTTTCAGGACTTGACTTTTGTAAGTTACTGCAGTGGTAAGATTCAGGGAACTTTTTATCATATACAAGAGATAGGATTCAGAAGGTTCCATTTTGGCAGTGGAAAAAGGTTCACAACATGAATGCATGAGAAAGCTGCCTCTGCTATCTGGTACTGGGAACACCACTGGGAAGGCTGGTGCCAAGGAACTCAGACACTTCAGGGACAGGAACACACCATGGAGGCCACTCTCCAGGTGAACAAACCATAGGCAGCGTAAGCCAAGTGAAAGGCTGCCCCTTTCTCCTCCTCCTGCACCTCATCCTGGCAGAGGCACTGTGGGGCCAGAATGGGATTCTTACTGGGATCTCTCACCTGCTACCGCCCTGCCCCTGGTTGCCACCGATGAGTTTCCTCAAACTGCAGGGAGTGACCTGAGCCCACAGGCTCCCCTGTGGCTCCTCCAAGTCACCCCTCCTCCAAGGTGGAGTGATGGAGGCTGGCAGCAGGGAGACAGCGTGGCCTTCGGGCCACTTTGGGGGAAGCCTGCTCTCCGGTGAGGGTGCCATGCTGCAGAGGCACCTGAGATGCTAGAGATCAGAAGACACCAAGTTGAGGTTTGGAAGAGTGACTTAGGAGCTGGCTGGCCATTCGCTGCAGCTCTGGAACCTGTGGAAGGAAGCCTTGGGAGGGCTCCGTGTTCCTGGCCTAGCACAGTTCTCCACGGTGGGGATGCAGCTGACTGTGCTCCCAACTGAAGCTGTCTGCGCAGCGTCCTCCGCTACAGCCCTGTGGACACTGGGTTCATGGAGGGAGCTGGGTGTCAGATGTATCAGCTGCCTTCTGCTGTACAAGTTACCCCCACCCCAGAGAGGCTTCAAACACACGCTTATCACCCTACTCTTTCTGAGGGCCGAGATGCTAGGAAGCGGCTCGGGCTGACATCTGGTTCATTTTCTCCTGTAGCTGCAATCAGGAAGTGTCGCATCTGGGGGCTCGACCAGTGCTGGAGGAACTGAAAGCTAATGTGGCTACTAGCTGGAGGCCCGAGTTCCTCACCACCGGGGCTCAAGGTGTGGTAGCCAGCTCTTCCAAAAATGAGTAAGAGACCCCTGTAACCCACCCTCAGAAGTCAGGCTCCACCATCTTTACATTAGGGCAAATCACTAAGCACAGCTCACACTCGAGGGAGGGGACCGAGACTCCTAACTTGCAGTGAATTTGTGGGCATAATGTAAAGGGAGTCCAGCATGTGGGCTTCACATTCTTCTGTGCTTCTGCTATTTGTGACATGCTTTGTTTGGTTAAGGCTCTGCTTTGGGGTAAAGATTTAAAAGGAAACTGTAGCACTGATTTTTAAAAAGAAATGCATTTTGTATCTAAAACATGTTTAGCCTCAAAGCAGCCCTATGAAACTGGATGAAAAAAAATTTTTTTTACCAGAACAAGTGAGATTAAGATCTGCTGATGGCTTGGACGTCCAGGAAAGGGCTGAGACACAGGCAAGAGACATCTTTGGGGAAACAGAGCTTATTTGGGAAGAGCCCTCAAGCCTAAGTAGTCAGCTGACCCACCAGTAGGCAGTAGGCAGAGGCTCTGGGCTCCAAATACTATAGTGCAATACCTAGCAGGTTGTAATTTCACCAAGTTCAAGACTGAGCATTGATCAGTATAGCTGCTTAAAAATACTTCAGTGACAGCAAAGGAATGAGCTGTGTAAATCCGCCATGGGAAGGTCTCTTGAGAGGCTGGCATGGAATTGTTTCTTGGAGGAATGATCAGGGAAGTAGACAATGTACACTTATCCTAGCTTCTGGCAGGATCTTCCTCCATCTGGCAAGGTGACCAAGATGGCTGGCCAGTGGCTGGAAGGGCCCCAGGGAGAGGAAAAAGTGACACTGGCCTGGCAGCCACACAGAGACTGGTGCTTACTGGGATGTGGCTATACCCCACAGCTCCTTAACTGGTCACAGTGAGTTCCAGTCTCCAGTATCCATGGAGAAAAAATGCAGATTTGGCCCTTTTCCCATGTAATCTGCATCCAAGGACTCAACGAGCCCAGGAGCAAAGATAATTTGGAAAAAAATTTATCTGCGCCAGACATGTATAGATGAGTCCCTGTCATTCCTTAATACAGTTCAACCACAGCACTCACATTGTTAGGTATCATGAGTGAGCCAGAGATGATTTAAAGAACACGGGAGGCAGTGTGCTGGTTTTTGCAAATACTATGTAATTTGGTGCACAGAACATCAGTATCCTCAGATTTTGGTGTCCTTGGGGTATCTGGGAGCCAGTCCACTAATACTAAGCTGTGTGTGTGTGTGTGTATATACACACACATGTACACACACACACACATACACATTAATGAACACCTTCACTTTGTCACTGGAAAGGTTACAATTATTCATGGGTTTGGTCATTTTATTATTAGCCCTTGGAAACCTGTCTCAAGACATCACATCATAAACATTATTGTCCACTGACATGAAATCATTAACATCATCATTTTCAAACAGCACTTCGGGCACTGACAGTAAACATTCAGTTGAGATTCAACCTGCAGTCTGCACTGTATTATCACAAAGATTGATTACAGTAGCAAGACCCATGTGTAAGGCACCTTGTGGGTTCAGAAACCCAGGATGGCACGCTGTTCCCTTCGTCACAGCCACCAGAGTAGGGTGCGGTCCTTTGCCCCCACTGTCTTGGACACTCCCATCTGGGATGCCCACTGGACAGGAGGCAGATGCACAACCCCTCCCCCGCAAAGGCAGCAGAGACCAATCCCCATCTCTGGGTTTTTTTTTTTTTTTTTGGTCTTTTTTCCTTTTTATTGGTACCAGGGATCGGAACTCACGACTGCCTGCTTGCAAGGCAGGCACTTATGCCACTGAGCTAAATCCCCAGCCCCTCAATCCTCATCTCTGCCCTCAGGGCCCCAGTTCTGTCTGCGTCAGCAGGACTTGCCGCACTGCTGTACTCCAAGGACCATACGAGGTCCATTATCACAGACCTCCCAGAAGACCTTGTGGGAGGACGCTGAGCAGTAGCATGGGGACAGCCTGGTAACTGACCACCCCCTCACTGTGCAGCTGGGCTCCACCACATCCATCTGGTTACAGGGCTAAAGACTCTAGGATGGGGGCAGTCAAGTGCCATCCCAGAATGCTTTGGCAGCCACTGAGCCCAGAATCGATAGCAACAGGAAATAATCAAATACCACTGGCTCCACATGACAGGGAAACTGACCCTGAACCTCTCTAGTGTGAAGAGACAAACTGGCGTCTTGGCCCAATACTGCTGGTGTGATCAAGTTCTTTACCAAGTGCACTGGGTGTGCATACATGTGTGCACTGGGTGTGCCACACACACATGCCAACCTGCAACAAGAGTCACGAGAACTCAAACTCTATGTTCCTTAAAAGGTACTATTCCAAGGAAAATAAAATAGAGGGGCCTTTCCCATTACAAAACCTTGAGTCTCCCTGGCTGCTTAATCTTTGTTGCCAGACAGTGAGCTGGGGCTGTGGCCTGGCTCACAGCAAGTTCACCCCATGCTTCAGCAGCTTCTGCTTGGCTTTGCCCGCAAGGCTGAAGGCCCCATCCTGTGGGCTTGGGAAGCCAGAGCCCCGGGCAGTGGACACCAGCGGCTGGAAGTAGGTCTCCTGGGCAGGGGTGCAGCAGGCGTACACAGCCGTGGAGGCGTTCCTGTCAGAAGAGGGAAGCAGACAATGGTCCCGTGGGGCCAGCAGGAGGCTTGGCCCCAGAGACCTGGGTAAGGTGGTCCCTGAATGCCAGCACGCCGAATGCTGTGGTGTGTGGTGTGTGGCTTAGGATGTTTCACTCATTTGAGTTTCAGGCCTCAGTGCTGGCAACAGGCTTCCTACCCTCCTTTCAACTTACTGCAGGCCAGGACAGTCCACGGTGGGACCTGACGTCTCAAACCATGTCCCCACAGGGCCTCAGTTTCCCCTAGTCTAGTATGATAGTGATCAATGCCCACTAAAGCTCTTCTCCCTCAGACCTGTCCTATGTTGAAGAGTGAAGAAAATTCTATCCTCCTCTGGCTTCTCCTGGGGGGACCTCATGGGACTAACAGTGTCCTCACCGCTGACCACACCAGAGGGACAAGCTCTTCACACAGCCAGGGAAGCACTGGGGCCTGGTGGTTCTAAGGGCGGAGCTGAGTCATGTGGCTGGGTGCAAATCCCAGCTCCACCTCCGAGCTGTGTGCCCTAGGCTGGGATACTCAACCTCTCTCTGAGTCCTAGGCTTTTCATCTGTACAGTGGATAAGATGATGGTATGTGTCCTCACTGAGGGTTTTTAACAAAGAGATTACATAGCAGAAATATGTATGAATTTTACTGAGCCCATGGGGAGTGGTTAAAACCAGGCAACTGCTGCCTCTACTGCCACTATGGAAATAACTTCCCAACAAATCCCTTGAGCTACGGATCCCTCTCGACTGCCAGGAAGGTGAAATGCTGCAGCTGCAAGAAGGCTGGTGGAGCAGATGCTGACATTTTACTTGCTGCCACCTCCCCCAAAACAGCCACCCTCCGCCACAACCAGGTCCCAAGCCGGCCGCCAGCCTGGGAAGCTGTGCAGTGCGGCTAGAGCAGGCTCACTGATCACGGAAGGTGGAGTGAGGCACCAGCCGGGACGGCGTGCAGGTGACAGGGCTTCCTGTGCACCTCAGTGACCCTACCCAGCCCCTGGCCAAAGCTGCCCCCTGCAGCTGAAACCTGCCAGGGCAAAGTATATACACTTCAGAGTCACTGAAGCCTGGTTCAAATCCTAGTACAAATGTGGGCCCAGGACAAGCTGCTGATTCTCCTGCTGCTTCAACTGAGAAAAAAATGCCCTGGACCAGACTGTTTCAAAGGCTCAACAGAAAATCATACACCTCCCCCCTGGCCCTTAGTCTTGCCTTATTTTCTGCTGTTTCATAAGAGATGCATTCCAACAGAGTTTGGGTGGTAAAACACTATAAATTATAATAATTTACAGACTATATCTATGTCGTGGTGTGAGAAAAGCAACTGGAAAACAGTGTATTAGCACAATCTTTTTTTTCTAGAAGGACTCTCAAGCTAATTAAAATAAAATAGTAAGAAACATTTTATGTACAGAAATAAAAATCAGGAGTAATACACAACAAAAGCAGAAATGTGGTTATTTCTTGGGTGTGTGACAGACAAAGGAAAGAAAATACCTTACTTTATAGATTTCCAAGCACCCTGAATGTTGTTTTTTTAAATTCTTTTTGTGTGTGTGTGTGTTTTTGAGACGGGTCTCGCTATGCAGTTCAGGCTGGCCTTGAGCTCACTCTGCAGCCCAGGCTGGTCTTGAACTTGCAACAATCCTCCCACCTCAGCCTCCCGAGTGCTGGGATTACAGGCAAGAGCCACCACACCCGGCTCTAAATTCGTTTTTAATGTGAGCATGTATTGCTTTTTTTAAATCTGAAAGACAGCAATGTTATTTCAGCATCATTCCCAGCAAGAACACACCTCACGAAGGGGCGTAACTGCTTGACAGTGAGGAGTCTGGGTTTTGTCACCAACGACCCAAGTGTCTAAAGCAAAGAGGGACCCAGAAGATCCCTGGCACATGTATGCATGACAGCAAACCAAGGAAGGCCTCGAATACAGTAACCAGAATGTTCTTCACTGGGGACCGTCACATTGGCGGCTGGCCCATAGCAGGTTCCTTTGAGCTGGGCTGTGGGGAACAGGCCTGGCATGGCGTGGGAGGCTCACCTGACGGTCATCTCATACAGTGTGGGCCGCTGGGCGAAGTCGGAGTGCATGAGGCTGACGGCCTGGAGGAAGTGGCGGTTCTGGGCTGAGGCCACCAGGGGAAGGTTGGCTTCCAGGGAAGAGGACACAGATGGTGAGTAGCGGCCCCTCCACTCCAACATGACTCAGGGTGGACTCAGGGTTCAGAGTGTGGATGCCACAAAAGAGGGAGAAGAGCAGACACAGTGCCACCATGCACCAGGTTCTGCCTGTTCCCCAGGAGCCACAGCCGCTTCCTGCACAGGGACTTCAAAATTCTAGGCAGGCCCTATCAGGGGCCTCTGAGCAGGAGTGAGTCCTCACACAACACTGGGGAACACCAGGCAAAGGCAAACGAGCCAAGGGCGTCTGCTGGGGTAGGGGCTGGGTTCCCAGGGAGGCAGCTCATTGGCTAGGGGTCAGGTACTGTGGCACAGCATTGCACTGGCCTACCACCACCTCCAGGGGCGTCCTCTACCCCGCACCCTGCCATCCCCTTACCCGTGAGCACGTTCTGGATGTGGTCGTGGTGCACGAAGCTGTAGGTGCCCCCCGTGGGGCCGGCTTGGTCTCTAGGCAGCGTCTCCTTCAGGTGCACTTCCAGCCCGTTGAGGGATGCCAGGCTGCTGTGGTACTGCAGAGGGCAGGGAGAGGGCCACAGGCAGCAGGACTGGCCTCGAAACCATCGCAGAGCCACCTATCCGACCGTGGGCTTAGTTAAACCTCCCCGGAAGTCTCAGGGACTACTCGATTCAGCCAAAATGGACTCTACCCAGTGCTTCTGCCTGTCCTCAGAGAAGCACCGACTCACACCCTATGTTCTGATGTTTCTAAGTTCAGGGTCATACTGTAGAAAACAAGAAAAGAGAGTTGGACCAAAAGAAAACTACAGAAAAAAGCAAGCAAGGAAAAACTGTCCATAATCTCACCAGTCTACTACTATCATGACTGCATATCTCCCTGGGCAGTGCGTTCAACAGTGGACCATGCCAGGACCATGCCAGTGGTTTTCAGCTGGGTTGGGGAGCAGAAGTCCCCCAACAGATATCATGCCCTAACATCTCTCCACTACACCGAGATCGGTGCCGTTCCTAGGAGACTGAAAAGTATCCCTGGTTCTCTATGCTGGCTCAGGGAGGAGCCTTAGCTGAGGACAGCTATCAGGAAGAGTCCCCCACCTTGCATTTTTCAAAACCTCCCAACAGATGGACAGTGTGTAAATCCAATTGTAATACTAAACTATGCCTTTTTATATAATTCTTTTTTTTTATAAAATAAAAATGGGATCAAACCATAGATAGTAATGGATACTAGCTTTTTAACCTAACAACACAGTATCAGCTACATTCCTGGTCCTTAAATCTTCTACAGCATCATCCTCTAGAACACTTGGAGTTCGTTCGGCTGTGCTTAGGGCTAGACTGAGGACATCAGTAATGTCTATCTAGGTTCTACCCGCACTTGGCCTCCTGGGACTGCTTAAGCCACGAAAAGACCACTGTCCCTGAACACCAGACAGCTCCCAGGTAAAGACCTCAGACTCAGCAACTTCCTAGCCAAGTGACCATCGGCAAGCTATTAAGTTTCCTGTGCTGTTGTTTTTTTCCCCCCATCTGCAAAATGGCTTAGACAGAGAGGGCAGAGTTACATAAAAACCGTGTGCTTAGGAGTCACACACAATCTTCCATGGTCAAATGACCTGAATGCCCTACCCAGCACTGAGGGGAGTGGACACTAAGGAACCTCCCACGTGCACAGATGTGTGCGCACAGTCATGAGTATCACACCTACCCACAGGCTTGAGGTCACACACTGCCTCATTAGAAGCTTCACAAAGCCAGTGAGCCATGCTAAAACCTGGACTCCCTGCAGGTACTGAGCTCTGCCTCAGCATCTCTTGCCTAGCCTGTACTCAGGATAAAATCACTTAGCAACAAACCAAGTTACCCACAAGAGGCTGGGTCAGATGACACACGGACAACTGTACTGGAAACCAAGCTCTTTCATCAACACCGAAGGAGTCACCAAACTGCAGCCTCTGAGCTACATCCAACCCACTGCTGCTTTTTTGTTCAGCCTGAGAAGAACAGTTTTTGTATGGCTTTTATATTTTGTGTGTCTGGGGGAGAACGTATAGTGCTGTGCCATGTGAAACTTATCTGCGGCGCCAACATCCATATTCACGAGTGTTAACAGCACATCCATCCCAGTTATCTACGTACTCTCTATGGCTGTACTGCAGTGGCAGAACCAAAGAGCTGTGCAGAGCTGAAAACAGCCACTTTGGGGTCTTTAATTCCTGGGCCCCAACTTCCAGTGTACATGACGCAACGGGCTGGAAGGCCTGTGGGGACTGTGACATGCAGAAGCAGCAGTGTGTGGGATGTATTCACAGAAGCAGTCACACAGGTGGCAAGGAGGAGTGCTCTTCCATAAAATACTTCATGAAACACTCTCACCCTAGCTTCACGCCTTGTCTACTATACACGGACGGTGGACAGCTCGATGGCCTCGTGGGGCAATGGATAATTGATCTGACCACAGTATTTGAAGGTCACTGAGTTTATCTCAGGCTCTAGGAGGGCAGCTACAGCATCAATGGCTCTATGCTGCCCCCTGGTGGAAGCCTAGTGCGTTCCTCTCAACTGACCCCTAACTCAGCCCTCTGGACTGCTTCCCTCTGACTCCCTCTTCTTCCCAGCCTTCCTGCTGGCCTGCCTCACCCACTGCAAACCCAGATGTCCAACGCAGCCACTGAAAGACAAGCTGGCAGCATGATGCGACAGCACCTCCGTGTGTAACATCCAGGATCCCTTTCTAAGGACTGCCCTCACTGTCCCATCTGGCCTGTAGCTAACAACTCAGTAGGGACCCTGGTATTCTGACCAGCTGCAGGAGAATCAGGTCAAGCAGGTCTAGGACAGAAAAGCAATAAACAATCTCTTTCAAACAAAACAGGCTTTGGGTCTGATTAACAAACTCACTCTCAAACCAGCAGGTTGATCCAATAGTTAGCCCTATTCTTTTTAGAAAAGACTAGCTTTTTCTCCTCCATAAAACTGCATTGTATTTCCTTGGGCCTCATCAGTGTCAAATCCTACTCTGCACGCAAGAGCATGGGTGGGCCTCGACAAGCCATGCACCATGTCCACCTAGCAAGAGCCACAAAGGGCAGGGCAGTCACCCTGCCTTTGCCTTCCCATCTAGGATAGCAAGGGTAGATGAGTCAAGAGAGAGGCCAAGGCAGGGGAACAAGAAGCCAGCAAAAATTCTGGACCTGCCACTTGCCTAAGATCCTTCTTAAACAGGCTAAGTTTTCTTGCTGGTAAGATGGGAGTTGCGATAGACATCTCCCCCTACAACTGTTTAAAGGTTTGGCTGAAGTAACAGATGTGAAGTAGCATTTGGCATACAGCTAATGCAGAACACATCTCATAGAGCACCCTGTGCTATTTTTTCAAACATTTTGGGGGGAGAAGGTAAAAATAAATTATTACATCTAATATTGCATCCAACACTGAGCCTTCAAAATAACATTTCTAAGGCTTGGCACAGTGCGGAAGAGACAGTGAAAAGTGAGGCAGTAAGATGAGATGTGGGCAGCTGCAGCCCTGTCCTGCTTTGCTGCTGTAAGGGACAGACATGGGTGAAGTGACAGTCACAGAGAACGAGGACAGAGAGGAAGCAAATAAACAACAACTTGATGCCCCGGGGTCTGGGGACAGGGGACTGACGAGCCAGCGCTCTGCAGAAGAGCAGTCTCCTGCTAGTAGCTCTGTGCAAAGGAAGCAGCTCAGCAGCCTTCCCTTCTCTGGGCTCCAAGGTGACCTGCTCATTTACAGAGGGTCACAGGCCCTGCATGCTAATAAGATCGGCTTAGAATAATATAGATTTAAGAATAAAAACAAGGAGAGCCCCAGGACACCATTTGCCCTGCAGCAATTTCAACCTGCTGTTCTCCCTGCTACCACTTTCCTTGCCAACTAAAGCAAGGCTGTTACCATAGCAACGGAATCTCCAGCAAGGGCCTGGACCTTACAGAAGGTCAGATCACTGCTCTAAGAGAGGAAAGAGGCTGGAATGGTTGAAGAAGACCCCTCCAGGGTCAGCTGGGATTTCAAATGTCCCAGGTCTTCTGGGAAGGCAATTTGGGTCACCCCTACGCAATGCTGGGGCTACCAAGGGAAACACCGGGATTCCAGGATTCTCACCCAGCTGACTGCTGCAGATATAGGGTCCAGGTAACATGGAATCTAGAGCTGCCGGGGCTAGCAAATGAGGCCAAAGCAGAAGCAATACAATGGCTGCACGTGCAGCCTTACTGGCACTGTGCCACCGCATGTGGAACAGGAGGCCTACCAGCACCCATGTTACTGAAAAGGAAGCAGAGACTCAAGAGGAAAAAAGCTTGTGTGCAAGGTCCCATGGCTGGACAATGACACGGCCAGAACTCCAACCAGCCAAGAAACTGGAGGAAGAAGAAATAGCAGAAAATCAAAACCCAGATGTCTTTGCACCAGCACTGCACCACGTGCATGGCTTACTCCACCTCTCACACACCAAGAAGGCTGGCACTGCTATCACGCCCATGACATAAGCAGGGAGGGTTTGCCTGGGGACACATAGCAGGCAGCTGAGCCAGCCCATCCATATTTCTAGCAGACTGCCAGAGGAGCACAAGGAACAGATCTGGAGACACTCACCACCTCTTCGATGGCTGCATGGTCTTTCAGCAGCGGTGCCTCGGCCAGAAGGGACAGCACTAACCCCTTAACACTGTGAGTATAGAGGTTCATCTGCACGAGTCTCATGGGGACTCCAACTGGGGCCAACTTGCAGTCAGCTCTGTCTGCCAAGGGGCCATCACCTTGGGAGTCTGCTGAATCGGAAATGCACTGTAGACCAGTAGTTGCAAGGCTCTCACAGACTCCATCAGCTTGTTTATCTACACCATGGTCCCCCTCAGGAAGCTCACTACCTCTCTGCTCTGGCTCTGGATCCCGGTGAGGTGACAATGGCCGGCTGGTCTGTCTGGGGAGGGGGTCTGTTCCAGGATCAAGGGTGTGGCTGCTGGTGTCATGAAGGTCTTCATGCTGCTCTTGGGCTCCATTCTGAGTGAGCACATCAGGTGAGGAGGAAGACAGGTGGCTGCCAGTGGCCATGTCCTCAGATGGCATGGGTTCCAGGTTGCTGACATCAGTGACAGAGTCCTCATGGTGAAGACCTCTGCCACCTGGAGCACACGCTTGTGGGAAGGCACAATGACCTGAGAATGCTCCAACTTCCTGAGCTTCTGGAATGTGGATTTTAGATAAGTCGATCTCCTTTTGGAGAAAGGCTGCTTCCTTGTGCAGGGAGCAGCTGAGGCCAGGAACCTGGCCGCCAGCAGTAGTGTTCAGTTCTTCGGGGCCCCAGCCTTCCATCTCATGGCCAGGCAAATGTCCATTCTCTTTCTTACCCTTTGGCCACACTCTGTTAGGGGACATGGGCTCCAGGGTGGTAGTTGCCATCCAAGGCACAGATGCCACTTGCCTGGTAGCATCTTTTTTAAGAGATGTGGTCCAATCCTTTGCAAGATGGTGGGCCGTACTGTCCCACTGTCTGGCTGGCCTGGTGAACAACACATGCATTAGGAGGGAGCACACTGCCTGCACAGTTGCTTGTGGGAGACAAAAGCACTGAGTTCCTAACTGGCGCAGGGTCAGTGACACATAGATCCCTGAGGCCACAGAGGCCAAGATGCTATCATGGTCAAACCACAGGAGTAAAAGGAAGGTAGCATCTGGCTCTTGGGGGTTCCCAGGACCTCCTACTGAAAATGTGGCCACCTGAATAACAGTCATCCAGAACTGGAGGGTCTCCTAGGAGACACTGTCACAGTGAGTCTGTGAAAGAGACTGTGCAAGGGAATAGACTGGGCCAAGGTCATACAGCTACTAAGGAAGAGGCCTAGGATTTGGAGCCCCTCCCAGATCAATACTCTCAAGCCACAGATGCCTGCCTATAACACAGAAGAGGGAGGGGACAGGACTGAGCAGAGATGGGCAGTACCAGTGTTTCTCTCAATGGAGATGTAAGCAACCTCCTTGCATGTGCAGTTAGGTGAATTCCCGGGTGATTTCTGAACTACCTAGGTATCTGCTCCACCGGAAACTCATGGAGACTGGCAACTTCCTCTTCAGTCAGGAAGACAGGGGTGATCTGGACATTCGGGGGGAACACTGCTCCTGCAATTGCAAAGCAACATGGGCAGGGCTCTCCCTGGGCTGGAGGAAACAGAAAGGCAAAAATCCTTCCTGTGGTGACGCACTCAACCCACACACCAGCTCAAAAGCATGCAGGAAGCCAGGCTTCAGTCCAGACACAAGCCACAACTGCAGCTCAGGTGCTGTGACAACAGGGAAAGAGCCACGGTAGACAGCACTATCCCAGCTAGGGAAAAGGGGGGCACTCAATGAAAGAAAGTTTAGCGTTACGTAATTTAAAAAAAAAAAGAAAAAAAAGCTAGAAACAAAGTGCTAGAAACACTAGCACAAACAGCTAGAAACAACTGACAAAGGGATTCCCCAACTTAGGCTTCCACAGGGAACCAGTGGGGATGCTGAGACAACCTGCAAAAGGGCCTTCAGCAGTCCTCAGAGCCCCGGAACCTGCCAGAGCAGTGTCACAGCACTGAGCTAAGGAGGGTCTGCATGCAGGGGTCTAGAGAACATGACCTTAACTATTAGGATGCCGGTGCATAATGCTGATCCCGAGGATCACTCAGACCCACCCCCCAATCTGACGAGCAGATGAAATAAACAAGGGACTGGCCGGCCCTGAGATGGCTTATCCAGTGATAGGCAGCACTGGCATGCCTCAAAGGCCAGAGCGCAGCACTCTACTTACCCAGGTCCTGCGTTGTGTCCTCTGCTGCAAGTGGACTCTGAAACAAACACGCACAGGTTGGTGCCGGGTACCACTCTCTGCTCTTGAGCTAACCATCAGGAATTCACCTCACCATCTGTTCACGATCCCTCGCCAAGCCCAAGGAGCTGGTCCCAGCCACATGCCAAGAGCCTGGCAGATGGAGCAGAGCTCCCTGAGCTGCTTGCCCTACCACTACCAGGAAGGGGCAAAAATCGGGCTATTCAGGCTGCACCACAGCACCCACCTGAACTCACATACTGCTGAGAGCTCTGATTTGCTCAGTCTCGCCCTCTGGGAAGTAAGCCAAGAATTCATAGCCTCTGCTGTACCACAGAGAACTCATTCTAGAACCAAAATGTCCAAGTCCTGTGACTCTCAGAGGGTTCTGTACCAGATCTCTGGCTTATTCTGGTTCACAGCTAAGGCCAGAAACTTAAGAGATTTTCTAACAAGAAAACAAAAAAGCTAAGATTCCAAAAGCAACTACCAAAACAAAATACACACCAACACTGCTCTTCCGGCCAAAATGACTTTCAGTCCTCTGAGATGGAATGACTTGCTTTCTTCAGTGACTTCAAAAACTCACCTTAGGTTACTATGCTCTACATGAGCTTACTCTAGACAAAATTCTTTTTAAAAAATCACATATTCTCCTTAAGCAAACAACTTAATATCCGAACATTTTTTAAGTTTACACTTTTGTACTTTTGAGGTATTATAAGGAATCTGACTTTTCAGCTGAGCTGGTTTTCTGCACACCTCTAATTCTAGCACTCTGAGAGGCTGAGGCAAGAGAACTACAAATTCAAGGGCAGCCAGGGTTGTAGGATCCCTGAATTCCCGCCCCAGTAACAGGAAAACAATCAATTTGTCCACTTAAAACAGTAATATGGAATTCCTGTCCTCATAACATCTTCAGCCATTTTAAATGGCTGGCTCAAATCTTACAAAGCTTACAGTGGTGAGAGTAAATTATTTCCTGACCTTAGGCCAGCAGAACGTAAAGGGTAAGATGATCCCTTTACACCTAACGTTCCACACTGGGATGGATGGTGGAAGTTTTAATTGGTTAAAGGCCTTATGAAGGGTACTCTGGCAGTGCCTACCAACAGTTAAAATGCCCAATAAACCCTTTCACCAGGTTTGCAATTTCAGCTTTATAAGCCCTGTGGCCTTGTCCCAAAATGCAGCTGGCTGCTGTAACTCAACAGCAGTTTAATAAAACTTTATTTGTATTATACACAGTTGGCTCATAGGCCAGTTTGCCAAATCCCACCTTAGACATTTTTCATGTCCATAAATCCAGCTGTAAGAGAGGCTTCACCACCCCCAGTACCACTGTACCTTCGCTCGTAAGTGCTTTTGTTGGAAAACAATTTGGTTCACAGACAGAAATATTAGGCAAAATTTTCTGTTTGTTTGCAGAATCTTCACTGGGTAACAAATGTGACCATGGCCATCTTTCTCACACAAACACAGATGTGGTCGTCTTTTCCAAAATCATAGAATATGTTAAGTTCATAAATTAAGGTACTACTGGACTAGGAATCAAAACTCACGCCTACATAAGCATTGAAACACATCTCCATCCATCCATCCATCCATCCATCCATCCATCCATCCAGGGTCTTCACACTCAGCTACACCCCTTGCCCTTTTGTATTTTGAGACAGGGTCTCTGTAAACTGTCCTGGCTGAACTTGAACTTGCAATCTTTCTGTCTCAGCTGCCTGAATAGCTGAGATTACAACTGTACACCACCAAGGCTGGCTTATTTTTAATTTTATTTTGAGACAGTGTCTGACCTCAAAGTTCCCATCTTCCTGCCTCAGAGTCCCAAGCAGCAAGGATTATAGGTGTGCGTCACTGCACTGCTAACAACAGACTTTTGAATATAAATTTTCTCAGCAGTCAGAGCTTTTCCTTAGTAGATTTCATGAAGTAGAAGTATTAGGAGAAGGAAAGGGTATCTTTAAATCTCCCTGCATCAGACTGTCTACCAGAAAGGACGTTCTCCCCACCACCCCACCAACAGCAGGTGAGGAGCCTGGATAGAGGCCCACCAGCATTTTACGTGGCTGCTGATCTCACAAGAGAAGACAGAACTTTATAATACACCAAAGCCATACTTTCATACCCTAAAATACACAAAACGGGAGAAAAAAGGACAGGAAGAAAATTGCCAGGCACTAGCAGTGGTTATCTCCATGTGGTCCGACTGTGGGGAAATTTATTCCCAGTGACGTCTTTTTTTTCCCACTCTAAACACAATTTAAATAAATACCAAATGGAAGTATTATAAGAGTTTTCCTAAATTTTTTAAAGGACACATTCTTTACAGTGGGCCTCTGAAAAATCTAACATTTCTTTGACATAAAGGCCATCTTGATAGTAAGTCAAATTCGGGAACCACTTATCTGAAGAAAAAGTGACTATCCAAACCTACCACATGGAAGCAAGTGCTTCCTTTCAACCTTGTCAGTCGCATCCCTCCCAAGGGAAACTGCAGGAACAGACCACGGGTCCTGACAACATTCCATGGGTAAGTGCCCCAGGGCCCATCGGTGCTTGGGCTCAGGCCCACCACACTTAGTTACAGGCGCTGTGGGGCAGCACGCTGGCCGGCGGGTGTGTGTTACAATACCTGGTCCAGAGGTGCGGGTCTGTGAAGCAGGATCTTGGCAGTGAGGGAGGGCACGAGCTGGGTGCTGACAATCCTGCAGGTCAGACACAGGAACAAAAGCGCGGTGAGAAGACACACACTGGAGCCTTCTGCACTTAAAAGACGCCTAATGTTCTACACTGGGATGGACGGTGGAAGTTTTAACTGGTAAAGGCCTTATGAAGGGTACTCTGGCAGTTCCTACCAACACCAAGACGTAGATATAAGAATATTCATTACAGGAAAAGTGGGAATTAAGTAAACAACGAAAGAGTCATGAAATAAATCATGGCATGGCCAGATCACCAACCCATGTATGGCCTTTCCAAGGACAGACAGACTGTATGACGGGGAAAGAAATTTCTATAGGACACACCCATTAGGGGAACCCTGTGATCCCCTTTTGTAGGGGAAATAAGCAGAATCAATGTGCGTGCTTATGTGCAGGTGGGAAATTCACAGAAAGAGCCTGGATGCTGGCTGGGGCTGACTGTGGGGTGGCGTAAGAGTGAGAAAGACCAAAAAGCAACTTTCCAATGTGTTCCATGCATTTCTCTATTGGTAGATTTTTTTTTTTTAATAAGAAAGTGTCCCAGGTACTAGCCAAATAATTTTAAAATATATAGGAAATACAAAATAAGAGGAAAATGCTATCTTTGAAAACAACATTTTGGTGAGCTTGGCGACCCTGCAAGTTGAGTCGAGCCATCCTGCTGAGCACAGAGGAAGGGGCCAAGGAGATAAGATGCACAGAGCTCAGTGCGCTCAGTCTTTCCACAACCGCTGAGTCATTTCACTGTTTACACAGGGTCTCTTTCTCGGAAAAGAAAACCGAGGGGAAGCAGCTTGTCCAAGGCTGGAGGGCTGGAAGAAGAGAAGCTACGATTCAAGGCCCAGCCTGTTGGGCCCAAGGGCACTGCTCTCAAGAGCCTCCCAGAAGCACCTGGAATGCTCCTCAGCTGCACAGCCACCAGTCAGCAGAGCCCTCTGGGCTCCAATCCCAGTGTGAGGACCAGCTCTCAGCAACGCATGGAGTGGCTCTTAGATACTCAGGCTCACAAGGAGGCCCTCCAGCCCGGTGAAGAGGACTGTGCGTTCTCAGAGGCCTGTCAGAATGCAGACCTGGGTGCTGTGGAAAAAGCATATGATGCTGCTTTGGAGGCTGAGATGCAGCCAGGGCAATGGGGTCCCCAGGACACAAGATTAAGGTCAGTGCAGGCTCCTTCTACTTACACTGTTGCCACTACCAAAACTGAAGCTCCACACTGACATGCTTAAGTGATGATTATACAGCATGCCCCACACTGAGAGTTACATGAACCCCTTTCATAGGGCTACCTTTTCTAAACATGAATCTCCAGCTATGCTCAAAGACAGGGACGTACCTTAAGTCAAATCTAAACAGCCCTACACAGAACAGGGTACCTTGGGTCACAAATGCTTTAGTTTGGAAACAATATGGCTCACAAACAAGCATTTGACAAAATTCTAGTTTTTGTTTGCAAACTCTGCATCGGGTGATGAACACAACCATGGTCATCTATTCTAAAATTGTGGAACGAATTAAATTAATGAACCAAGGTATCACTATATTTGCCAAACAAGCCCACATGGAACTGGCCAGAAACTGAGCTCTTTGCTGAAGGCCTGGAGGGAGACAAGCGGTCAGTTCTCCAGCAGGAAAGTGTAGGAGCGGACAGGGACACAGCACTACTCACAGTCCTTTATAGAGGATGCAGCCAGCTAGAATGTGAGGTGAGCGCTGGCAGGTCTGCAGGATGAGGGCTGCCTTCAGCAGTAGCAGGGGCTCTACCTGCACAGGCAAAGATATGTGGTCACCATTAGCATGCTCCCAACCAGCCAGGGACACAAGGGCAGAAACTTTCATAAACAGACAGGCAGCTTATAACTCAAAGCCTGGAGAAAGGGCTTGCACTCAGTACCCACGACTGCTAACAGCAACAGAATGCCAAACGCTGGACACAGGAGGCCTCTTGAGAAGGCACAGTGAATGCACATATGGCTACTGCTGGAGATAAAGCAGATTGCCTGGAAGACCCTGACTATCCATGCTGAGATGAGATGGCAGCGAGTCAAGGTGCCAAGTGAAACCCACCCACCATGCAGAGCACCCCCAAGGGAGACAGCTGGCTTCACTGGTATCTGACCAGCTGCTGTCACTCAAACCTGTCACATACAGGAGAGCACCACAGCTTGGTTCCAAGGTACCCTGTGAGGAGTCAGTTGCTTAGAAGTTCCTAAAACTACAAGAAAAGCATCTGAACCTGGTCAAAAGTGTCCAGCAATATTGCCCACCTCCTCATAGTTCCACCTGTCTGCCTGGCAGTGAGCCCCTGCAGGGACTCAGGATAAATGGAACCAAATCTGGGGCAGTTGCCTCGTGAAGAGGTTGTTTATTCTTCCCTGGCCTTAAGACTGTCCAATACCAGCCAATACCCTGTATGACCCAGGGCCAACGCTATGAAGACCCCTGAACAGAAGAAGGAAACCTTCCCTAGCTGGTGCACTAATGCTCTGTGAAGGCTGATGCCCAGCCCTGCAATCCCATCAAATGGACATATTTGCTCCTGCTGTGAGATGCAGGAGGCTCATTTGAGGTGCTCAGGGCTCAGAGAGCTCATCCTTCAGGGGACAGCTTTGGGAGTCAGGCCAGTCATGTAAGCAGCTTGAGTGCCAATGGCAAACAGAGAGGCAAACCATTTCCCAGCCTAGGTATCTATCTCCTCTCCACTCTTGTTTCTCCCTGTCTGTCTGTCTCTCTCTCGCACACACAACAACCTTGTTTTATAATGTTAGCACTAGGCATTTCTTTTTTTTTTTGTCTTTCTCCTTTTTATCGGTACCAGGGATCAAACTCACAACTGCCTGCTTGCAAGGCAGGTGCTTATGCCGCTGAGCTAAATACCAAGCCCCTAGCACTAGGCATTTCTGAGGCTGACAATAATTTAATTGGATGACCATATGATTATTAATGCTAAGTGTGGAGAGGATCTTCAGATTCCTGAGTTTCAATACTGCTGAGGTAATAACATAGTGGTAACCACCTATACTACATACATTAAATTCCTGATTTACAAACATTTGAGTTGCAAACTTTCACAGATACAAATGGACCTCACATTACAAACATCCATAAATGCAAACAAATCACAGAAAGTAATTCACATGTCTGCCCAACTTTCACAGTTGTGGTCCTGTGTGCTTACTGTATAGTAGTAACACAGTGCTCATTCACAGCCTAGTCTGTTTGTGTGTTTATCTGTCCAATTATGCTTTACATTGTATATTGTGTCACGGCCGTGTAAGACTCACTTTGTAGGATCTTTGAATGAATCCAATTTACAAATATTCTCCTAGAAAGGAACTCGTTCAGAAGTTGGGGATATACTGTACCTACATGGTGTCACTTGAGGTACAGCCTCACTGTACCAGCAAAGCAGTCCTGGGAGGCTGATCTCACAATATCGACTTACAGATGAAGGAAGGGAGGCTCTCCAAGGTGGCCTGTCTCACCCTCGCTCAAAGAGCTGGGCAGTAGCCAGGGCTTACTCCCTGCATGCCTAGGAAATGACATGTTCCAGGCACTTCTTTAGATGTAGCTCATTTCAGAAATACCTTTTTTTTTTTCTTCTTCTTCTTCCGGTACTGGGGATCTAACTCACAACCTCATGCTTGCCAGGCAGGCGCTTATGCCACTGAGCTAAATTCCCGGCCCTCAGAAATATCTTTTTAAAAACTGTTCTTATGCATGAAAGGAATAAGGAGGATGAAAACATTACTTTGGTTCGATCCAAGTTCCAGAGAGAATTGAATATCTTATGTAGATCACTGGTGTTTTTCAGCACTTGCTCAATGAAAGCATCCCATTGCAAACTCAGTTCCGCCTGAGAATGGTTCTAAAACAGAAACAGCCTGAGGTCAGTACCTGGGACAGCTGGATGGACAGACTTTTCAGAAAGGGTTGCAACTGCGCTAAAGGCTGTTCCGCAGAGCAATGGCTGCAGAGGTGACCTGTTCTGCCTCCCTTCATGCACACACATGGCCCCTTCTCCCACCCTGACCACCTGCCCCTCCACAGAACCATCCTAACCATCCCAGGAAAGAGGGTGGGGACAAACACTTGGGAACACAGGCATCTGAGGGGGGCTCCAAGGACCCTCGACCTGGTCACTGGACACCATGTATTCATGTAAAGAAATGTTGCATTTTAGCAATAGTGGTTTTGCTAAAGAGGCCCAACATGATTCCCCAAACCACACTCATACCTTGTAAGCCAGAGAAACGGGACCATTGTAGAAATTAAAGAATCCAATGAGCTGATCTAGGAACCGCTTGCAGCTGCTATCAGGGAGCTCCACAGCACAGCCCAGCACCTGAGAAGAGGAACCTCAGGTCAGGCACTGTCCTGTTCTTGAGGCCAAGCCCAGAATACTGGCATCCACAGCTCCCCACAGCTCAACAAGACTGTCTGTCTAGGCTCAAGGCCCACACTTTCCACTGCCACCAAGCTGATCTCTGTAGAGAACAAGTACTTTCTGTCCCTTTATTCATGGGGCCTAAAATGCACTCCTCCGTGCTGTTTGTTCACCGGGGTTTGCCCAAACCTTTCAGGGTCCACTAGGATTCTAGCACCTTTACCATGCCTGTTCTGTTAACGGCAGAAAAGAGGGGACCTCTCTTCTGACCCAAGTACTGTGGGGACTTGTGCTGGCCACTGTACTTTTGTTCTGGGCTTCACCACAAACCCTGGAGAGACTTAAACTGTCCCATGAATGGTCACCTTATCTCTCCAGCTGGACGAAGAGCTTCAAGGGCAAGACTGACCTCATCATCACAGTCCTACCCCCCACAGGCTAAGGGCAGGGCTGACAAACCCTAGCTGAGAGGGGAAGAGATCTGCCTATTTGTTTAAAAAGCCAGAACACAGCTCATAGTCTTTGACACAGTGATTCTACTTCTAGGAATCTGACCTAATGGAATACAGGAATACAATTAGGAATCTAAATAAACCTAGATAGGAAACAAATAAATGAAAATTTTCTGAAGTGTAAACTATAGAAGGGCAATGTTGTTTCTCCCCTGAAGTGACCCAGGAGTTTAACAGTCTGGCATGAAGGAAATGCTTTCTTTCTCCCGCAATGATCTATAAACTGAGAGCAATTCCAGTCATACTCCTATCAGCTTTTCTTTAGAAACTGATAAAGCGGTTTAACAATGGAAACACAAATGATATAAAATATACAAAACTATCTTTTAAAAAACTGAGTTAAAAAAAAGAATAGGATTAAAAGGCTTATACCACCTGATTTCAAGATTCACAATAGAGCTATTGAAGTCAAGGCAGTGTGGTTCTTCCTAGAATCCTCAAACATAGCCCAGAAATAGAGCTGCACTTATCTGGTCATCAGATCAATGATAAAAGAGCTAATTCAGTAGGGACAGGAAAGTTTTTTCAACAATGGTGCTAGAATAAATGGATATACAAATAGAAAAGAATAACCCTTGATTTCTATTCTCACCATTACAAATTATTAACCCAAGCTGGATTGTAGATCTAAATTTAACTGTCACAGGATTTGTGTAGCATGTGCAGTATTTGTCCAAAAATTATGCCAGGTGTGGTGGCTCAAGCCTGAGTTCAAATGTTAGTACCAAAAAAAAAAAAAAAAAAAGAATGAGCAGACTGTAAAACCCTGACATAATTGAATACTATTTAATAGCAAAAAGGAGTGAATACTGGTTCACATAATCTCACAAATGGTAAGTGATAGACAGAGGTCACTTAAAATAAATAGTATATTAAATATTCATATGATATTCTAGAACAGGCAAAACTAATCTATAGCAGAAAAATTAAAAACAATGGTTGCCTGGAATTGGACTGGGCAGAATTAACCAGGACATGCATGAAGGAGCTTTTAGGGGTGATGATAATTTCCAAATGTTGCCAGGATTTGTGTAGCATGTGCAATATTTGTCCAAGTGTATCAAACAGAACCTTAGGCTCTGTGTACTTCATCAATTGTAAATTTCACTTCAAGAACAAAAGAACCGCATATAGTGACCTTTAGTTAACTGCATTGATGGTAAAGGATCTGTGGGTAGTGGAAATACAGTAGTGTATGCAACTTGCTTTGCAAAGTATTTTTAAAACATCTAGCTTGATGGGAGGATAAAAGGATGAACATAACATGTGACAAAGCAACTACAATAAAAAGTTAATCATAAAAGAGGCAAATGAGTTTTCACTGTAAAATTCTTGTAAGTGTTCATTACATTAGAAATTCTGCATAATAAAATGTTGGAAATAACACCTACAAAGCATATATACCACCCCACACTTCAGCATTCCTTTACCTTCAAAGCCTTAAAGGGCAGGGAAGGGAAAATATGCTTTAGATTAAATGGCTATAAATGGATTTTTAAAATTTATTTATCTTTAATGAGTTCTTTTTGTTTTTTTGTACTGGAAATTGAACTCAGGACCTTGCACTTGCCAGGCAGCTGCTGTGCCACTGAGCTATATCCCCAACCCAGGATTCTCTAAAACCTATCCTGTGTATACAAATGTCAGGTTTTTACACTGCTCCAAGTGTAGACAGTAAACAGTATACAGTATACAGGGAAGGAAAGATGCAAATAAAATCTCAATTTGCCACACAGACCAAACAGAATTTCTATAGGTTAGCCAGTCTTCCAAAGGGAAGGAGAAACTAGCTGTGTGAAAAGCAGGATATGTTAGAAATGTCTCAGAAACAGCTGGGGGCACAGCTCAGGGGCAGAGCATGTGCTCAGCATGTGCAGAGCCCTGAGACGGGTTCGGTCCTCTGCACAAAGGAAAACTAGGAATGCACTGGACAGCACTGGGTTATGATGACATCTCAGTGAGCATCACTGCGTGTGGACCGGTGCACAGAGGGTTGGAGAGCTACAGAGCAGTGCAACACTCCAGCACTGGCAGGCCCCGCCTGTACTTACCCAGAGGTAATCTTCTTCAACCTTTACGGCAAATTTCAGTTTCCGCATGCGAATGAGCGTGGGAGGAGAGCCAGAAATGTCGGAGACACAGCGCACAACTCCAGCAATCTGCCCACAGAGCAGCTCCTGCTGGTCGAGGACGGTCTAAGAAAGGAGCAGACCGCAAACAGGGGGCTGAAATTCTTGAACTCTTGGGTCATTCCTCAGAAGACATCAAAGCCTGAAGGCCAAATGAAGTCTGCTGCCTACTCTTGTGTATTCTTTATGTATTTTTAAAGGTTATAAAAACAAGGAATAATATATGACAGAGCCCTTGTTAGGCAAAGCACAGTACATGTGCCATCAGGCCCCTTACAAGCCTGCCACGGCTGCCGGGTGGCTGCACTGTCATATACACCAGAAAGCCCGAGAAACTCAGCACAGAGTGCTGGGCAGCAAGGATTACAGGCACGCACTTGAACAGACGCACAGCCTTTCATTCCCACTCTAATCTCCTGTGCAGGGCGGCGTGAGCAGCCCGGGTTAATCCCGGCCACCTAAGTCACAGCGTAATCACATGATTGGACACAGAATCTTATCTGTCTTAACTTAATCGAATGGGGACAGCCAAACATGACATGAGGCCAGAAATTGTATACACCATCTCTGAAGAATTTCTGCCTGACAGAACTGAGCTTGAATCTAATCAAGGCTCTGGAGCTTACTACAATTTTAAAGGAAATACAGCAGAGAGCAGATAGCAAATGACATCACCATGAGAAACAGCCAAACCTACAGTGGGATATTTTAACATTCCTCCACATAGCTGGCCAGATCTCTTCACTAATTCAGTGGCAAGGGTGGGATAGAGAGTGGGGGCATGGGTAAGGAGTATTAAAAAGGTCCTGAATGTACAAAACAACCAGCGACTATATGGGTGCTTTTTGGGCTGATTAGGAAAGTTAAAAACAGTGACAGACACTAAAATGACAGAAGGATAAAATCTGAATCTAATCTGAGTAGCATGATATTAAGGAATTACGGTTACCAATTATTACAATTTTTGTTAGGTGTGAAAATGTTCAATGTCTTTTTGCACAGAGACAGCACTTGATAGTAGAGAGATGACACAATGTCTAGAATTTGCTTCCAATGCCTCAAGCAAGTAAATAAAGTAAGAGGGGAAAGGCTGGGTCATACAAAACTCGGGAAGCTGTTGATAATAGTTGGCACCAGGAACGGTGTATGAGAGTTCATGATACTCTCTTCTCTGCTCTGTATGGGTTTCAATAAAAGCTTTCTAAAAATGAGTCAGCTGATCCAAAAATTGGAAGTGGAGAAGACAGACCAAAAAAAAAAAAAAAAAAAAAAAAAAAAAAAAAAAACCACGATAATAACAGAGAGCTAGGAAAGAGTAAAGTCTTGAGCTGTGTAGGGATTTTAAGACCAGAACACAAACAAATAGAACATTTTAGAATAAGATGGCAGACGTGTCAAATGCCTGGATTGGCCAAGAAAGCTGTCCTCAGCTAAATCCTATAAAAACTCACCACTTGGAGGCAGGGAGATCTCTGCTGAATACTAGAATGTCACATAGCTTACCTGGGAAGGATAAAAATAACAAATGCCAGCTCTGGTTGGATCTCCTTCTTCCTTCACCTTGGAACCATCATAAAGAAAAAAATAATTCCACCTGGCAAGAGAACAAGATGGAGCCGTATTTTCTTTCAACCAGTGACAATGGCATGTTAAAATGCAGCTTCCTACTTCCTAGCCCAAGGAGGGCTTGTTACCCAGTGCGGCCTTCTGCTGGGCCCAAGAGAGAAGGAACCCAGCAGCCACAAATAGATAAAACCACTCCTCAAGTGCAGGACAGGCCAACTAAAAATACGCCTCTGTTCAGCTGTCAGACCATCTGCCCAAAAAGACACGCACCACGCGTAGCTGGGGGGAAACGGCCGCAATCCCCAGTGACAGCTCTTACTTGAAACGCTGAACCTTCACTGTTCAACCACACAGCCTGGTGCACTGTCCTCCGAGGATATGATAGTAAGATAGGTTAGGGATGTCTCAGCGGCGCTTCTCACGACTGCTGAGCACACTGATCTCCAGAAATAGTCCCTCTAACAGGAATTTACCTAGCAGATGTTCACAGAGGGTCTGCAGTGAGGGAATGCAGTTTCAATACAGGGCAGTAAGTCTACAAGAAAAAGCAGGGGCCTTTGGGAGTTCAGAGAAATCACAGACTCTTCTCTGTCAGTTAAAACTTTACCAGACTCTAAGCATCATTCAAATATGTATCTTCATCAACCTTCTCCTGATTGCCTGGGCCTAGAGGAATCTAAGTTTCTAAAATCTCCTCTTCCCTAAAGTGAGTCAGCAGACTCCCCCTCTCTCTTCCTCTCTCTCCCTCTCTCTCTTAAAAGGGAATAAAACAGGACCTGGGATTTAGCTTAGTGGCATAAGTGCCTGTCTGGCAAGCATAAGGTTGCAAGTTCGATCCCTAATACCAAAAACAAAAAAAAGGGGGGGTGGGTAAAACAGAACAAAACAGTGATAGGACAGTAGGAAATCCACAATTGTTACTATATTGCATATTGTGATCCTCTAAATAGCTGCTCAGACTACTGGCCCCGGCCTGCAAAGTCAACCAATCAACACAAATCCCTACTTCAGTTCGAATCATCTCAGCCTGTGTCCCGTCCAGTTGCTGGGGGATGAAGGATGGCTTCCTTGCTGGACTTCCCCAACCGACAGGGCCATGTCCCTAGTTTTCTTATTTCTGCTGGATTCCTGAATTCTCTCTCCACGGGCTTCCAGTCTCAGTTCAGGTCCTTCCTGTGTCCATGGGACCAACTCCCTCTTCCTTCTCTTCCTCATGTTGTTATATTCCCCCTGAAGACTCTTGTGATCTGCTCTACAGTATAGTTATGTGATATTATTACCATCAGTATGTGATTACCTCTTGAGACCACAGAGTGAACTCCCCAAAGGCTAGACTTCAGTTTTATTTCTAAATCTCCAAAAGCACAATCAAGAGGTAATGGCATACAGCAGAGATGTCCCCTGCACTCTTCTTGCAGGGAGCCGTGCTCTGTCCTGGGCTTGCTCATGAAACCACCATCTACTTCTGGGATCATCCACTTTCCAGAGTTCTAGTGCCAATCCTGATCAAAAAGCCTCAATAGGCAGTATATAGTGGTGCACAACTGTAAACTTAGGTGCTCTTGAAGCTAAGGTAGGAGCATTACAAGTTCCAAGCCAACTTGGGCAACTTAGTGACAGCCAGTATCAAATATAGGTATGCCCCACCACACTGGGCTATAATCAGTATATACATACAATCTGTTAAGTCTGGTGAAACCACCACTTTCATTTTCACCTCCCCAATAATGTCTGTTGGATCAAACCATGAAAAAGGATCAGCCCATATGGGTTGGGCAGAGAAATGACTTTCAGGCAGATGCTGTGCAACACCCTCCAAGAGCCTGACTGGCCAGACTTTTTGTCTGGGTAATTCTCAGTTGTAACCATTCCTCATCTCTCGTCAGTGAGAAGAATCACACCCAGGTTATTACCAAAGCTGGCTGCATAATCAACTCTGGTTGTCTTTTCTACAATTTACCAGCAATGCTGAGTTCCTTTGAATGGGGCAAAAGGCTGGCAAGGTTAAGAAACATTTGTTCTCAGCCAGGTGCAGGAGCTCACGCCTGAAATCCCAGCACGCTGGGTGGGTGAGGCAGAAGAATAACAAGTTCAAACCCAGCTTGGGCGACTCAGTGACTTGGCAAGTCCCTGTCTCAAAATAAAAACTTAAAAAAGGCTGGAGGTATTGTTCTGTAACAGCCCCTGAATTTAGCCACCATTACCAAAGACGAAACAAGACACATTAGCTCTAAATGTAGTCACTGTATGGAAAATGACTCTTTCATCTTTTGCTTACTAACATCAGGAAAAGCTGGCTGTGGTTTTCAAACACCCAAGAGACCTCCCACAGTTGGCCCCGATACTCACCAGGAGGCCGATTTTGTCTCTGGGGAGGTGGAGGTGGCCATTTACTCTCCAGCAGACCTCATCCTCTTCATCTGGGTTCCTTCTCCCAGTATCACTTCTTGTTTTCAACAGTGGCCCCAGTGCAGTGAATCCAGGTATGGGAAGACGATGAGTCTTTGTCACAACTGCCACTTGCTTAGCTCGCAGCCAACGAAAGTGCTACTTCCTTCCTCACAGACCTCTCGGTTCCACGAATATCTCTACAGCCCCTAGAACTGTGGCAGGGGACATAAGACAGCAAGACACGACTGGAAAAGCCAAATCCATCAGGCAGGTTCCATGAGCACCAGCATGGCTGTCTGAAGAACGACCTCTTCAAGCTCATCTCCAGGCAATTCCCACATGCTGGCTGGAAGATGCGTTTGGACAGATTTCTAACATGTTAAGTTCAAAGCCATCCTGAGGGTTCTTTCAAAAGTTCTGAAGTTTCTAATTCAAACATCAGTGCCTTGGTTGTGAAATAAACACAAGGAATGATTATTTTCAGAAACCCATGAGAGAGCATGTGACCCAGGCAGGGTTGAACAAATGGTACATTTCAAAAAGGCTTTCTGTACTGCAAAAATTATGTTTCTGGATTTTAAAAAGAAGGGTAGCAAAGACCTCTGAGCAAGGGCCTTAGTTTCTTCAAAACTGATCACAGGCACCACAGACGATAAAATTATGTCACTAGTGAAAAAGGCACCAGGATCACTACACATAAAGTGGCTGCCATGGTAATAATGGATCCTAATTAAGGAACTGTCACCTTGACAGTCAAAAAGAAACCTGAACATGCCAAATTTCACACTGGGCAAGTTTTTTAAAGAGCAAAAAGAACACTTTCAGTAAGTGGCTTTCAAACTTCTCCAAGAGAGACAGTTCAGTATACTGTGGAGTTTCAGTCAGAAGGGACCCTGGTCTCATTTTCTTAATCCTTGTCTCTCATTCTCTACCAAAACCACCTTGTCAGTCACTGGCACACCCCTTCCACAGACAGGCTAGTTTCAGTATTAAGCTGATTCAATTGGCTTCCTAGGAATCTTCCCTCACTGGGCTTGATTTCACTACAGGAAAACATAAAACAAGGATTAAGTCTTCCATGTGACAACCCTCTGATCACTTTAGGAGTTCACACTTCCTGTCACTTTCTCTAAGCTTAATGGCTTCAGTAAACTTGGTACCATTCTGCTATCTGTGAGGACAGGTGATAACATGGTTAAAGTCTCTTTGGTAGACAGGTCTCTAGATACCTTAAGGTGCCCTCCCTCATGGGACCATACCCAAGATATTCTACAGAGTATCTCTGGGGGCCTAGGGTGGCAGGATGTCAGTTCCTGGAACCAGACAGCAGCCTGAAAGCTCCCTTCTTCCTACAGGACTGGGTCCTACACTATCAAAGTTCACTCGCTTAACTCTGAAATGTCCAGGAGAGCCCAGTAGTGACCTTGGAGTCACAGGTGTCAGGATATAACCAAAAATGGCTCTGGCAGTCCGGGTAGTGTCTCAGGAACTCAAGATGTGGAAAACAAGGCCGGATTACATACAACTGTAATCCCAACACTTGGGAGGCTGAGGCAGCACAATCGTCAAGAGTTTGAGGCCTGCCTGAGCTACATAGTGAGTTCAGGACTAGCCTGAACTACACAGCGACAGCCTGTCTCAAAAAAAGAGAGAAAAAGTGGACATCAAAAGGCCTGGAGAAGGGGTGATGGCAAAGGTGCCGGTAGGAGCCTAAGTTAGTCACGGGGATTGAAAACCGGATGCTAATGTCTGCAAACGGTCAGGAAGCTGCAATACACAGTCCTCGAGGCTCAGGAAGCTGCTGGAAACCGCAAGCCGCCTCTGGCCTCAGGGACAGGTCTCAGTGCCAGGAGGCTTAGAGACGACGGGGAGGAAGGGGGTCAACCGGGTCCCACCCGCAATGTTCCCACGCTTCACCGCCCATCCACCCACCCACCCACCGCGGTAGCCAGGCATCCACGTGCTCGAAGTTCAGGACTCTAGACCTGGAACGTGGGCGGCCGGCGGCACAGAGCCCGCCCGCGACTCCCACCCGGTACCTGGCCGCATCGCAGGTCTACCCCAAGTCACGCGCCACCCCGCCTCCCGGCTCCGCCCCCTAAAGGTCGCGAGGAGCCGGCGCGCGGAGATGACGTAAAAGAGCAAAATGCGGTGACGTCACGGAGCAATGGCGGCGGCCGCAAAGGCGGCGTCGGAACGCTGGCAGACCGCGGCTCCGCGGAGGCGCTCGGCTGCGCGGCAGCCGCGGCGGAAGGAGGTGGCAGCGGGAGGCCGTGAGACCGATCTCGAGGCGAACACTAAAATCGTGCTTCGTCGCCTCCAAGAGGCCGAGTGAGTGCATGGTCGAATCTTCGCGCGAATAGTTCCCTCTCTGAGCCTCAGTCTCCTCATCTCTAAAATGGAGATGTGCTAAAAATCTTTCTGGAGGAGAACTTTTCTTGCAGGCCTGGACGAGTTTGCGTTTTCTTATTTGTAAGAAGGGGAATAAAGAAATCACTTACGCAGCTTGCTTTGAAGATCATTGATTTAGTAAATGTAAACTATTTCCTGGTAGGTGGTAAGAGCTGGGCTAAGTTTTGCCATTAATGCCATGTGCAGTGTTAATAGTAGTATTAGTGCAAGAGAGTAAAAAGCACACTTGGTTGTCACCATTATCGTCATTTATCGACCAGCTGCTAGTTACTTAGCACTATCTTAAGCATTATACACACTTTGTCAAGGTTGAACATCACTGCCATGCTAAGTGGTTAGTAGCCCAAGGAGACATAGGCAATGAATGTATGGAACCAAACTTCAAACCTAAGTCGTAGAGACTTCAAAACTTTTGCTTATATCTCGCTATTTTTTGGACTCTTATTTCATCCAGGTCCCTTTATACCTTGCCCTATCCCTTAAAAAGCATACAAACAATACCCAACAGAGGAAGAACTCAGTAAATTTTCCTATTGTTATTAAGAATTACTATTGTTATTAAGAATTAATTTTTTTTTAGTGTCAGGGTTCAAGAAATAACTTCAGTTAGCCATCTTCAGATCAGAATCAAGAAAGCCATTAGGGGAAGAGATTAGACTAATATTTTAAAGTTCCTCTTTCCTAAAGTTAGCATCAGGAGGCAGTGATGACACAGAGGTTACTGCTGAATAGAAAGAAATGTATGACCAACTGGCTTAGAGAGGGAGGTGGGGGGAAAAGCAGCAGTCCTTTGTAAGATCTCTAAAGGTCTACGGAGGCTGAGAGAGAATGGTTGAAATTTCAAGGCCAGCCTAGACAATTTAGTGATAACTTGTCCCAAAATGAAAATGAATAAAACAGTCTGAGGTATAACTCAAAGGCAGAAAGCTTGCCATCATGCACAAAACCCCTGGTTCAATCCCCAATACTGCAAACAAAACAAAAGCTTCAGATGTAAATGACAGTGAGTGTGCCTGGGGATTTGGAGAGCTCTTAAGGCTCTTTCCAGATCCCTTGACATTGTGATCATTTCCTCAGCTTCAGAATTCCCCAGAGGCTCCTTGTTTCTCCCATAACCCATAAGAATGGTATGGTCACCATACCATACCTTGAGCAGTTGAACAGCCAGGCAGTCTATATGCCGATCTGTGCACAGACTTAATCAGTTTACCAGGCACAGCCGTGTATGTTAGAGCTCTCTCTCTCCTTTGCTCTTGGTGGGCAGTCTTGGGCAAGAAGTTTTACCCTTCCGTCCTTCTTGAGCCCCTGTATGAGTCAGGTTGCTGGGTCACCCACAACTTCATGGAGATGTTTATCATGGCTCATAGTTTCAATAGACTTAGTCCATGAACGGTTGGTCCAAGGCAGAGACAGCGTGATGAAAGGGCATGGCCGAGAAGAGTTGCTCACATCATGTCAACAAGAGAGAGCTAAAAGAGGAAAAGAAAAAATAGACCCTTCCAGGCCATGCCTCCACCGGCCTTTTCTGAGCAGGCCCCACCTTGAATAGTACAGTCAGCTAGGACCTCATTGGTGGACTAATTTATTAATGAGTGTAGCCCCCACCTCCATGAGCCAGTCACCTTCCAAAAGCCCTGCCTATGAACACAAGAGTTGGTGGGGGGTATTTTAGATCTAAACCATAATAGACCCTTAAACACTGTCTCTTACTGCTTATTGGTTCAAATTCAGTTTAATTCACAGTTTGACTTTGTTTAGCTGTGGGCCTGTGGGAACCAATTGACTTGCATAAAAAAGGCTAGACTCTTGTCTCTTCTTTTCCCTTAGTTGTTTGAATAACAGAGGCATTTTGTTATAGCCTCTTATGTAGTACTGTCCTAGGAATGCTAACCTATTTAACCTGTGACCCTTGGTGATAGATACAATTCTCATGCCTGTTCTAGAGATGAAGAGACTAAAGCTCAGGTAGGCCAAGGCCAAGTATTTGATGACTATGACACAGCTCTGCCCAGCTTTGTTGTGGGCCAGGAATCCAGGGCTTCCACTGGGAAACTGCCTGACCTGTTCCCTCTGAGCCCAGCAGTTTGCATACTGGCTCTGGACCTGTCAGTGTGTGCACATCTCTCACCATACAGAAGCGTGGACTGTGGGCAGAGGGCACTTTGTCCTCCAGGCAGCGACCTCACAGACAAGCAGGAAGGTGCTGCTAGGGTAGTGCTGACAGGATGAGAGATGATGGTGCTCTTTTCTCAACAGGAATGATCTGCTTATCTCTGCTTTCTGGAGCTCAGCACTAGGTAGGTACCACCAGGGGTGAGGGGCTGGCAGGAATAGAAGGGGAGCATCAGTGTGGACAAAGAAGGGAATCCATTGCTCATTTGAGGACATTTCACTTCACAGAGCAGTGTCCTACTCCACCAGGGTTGTAATTCTGGTTTCTCCCTTCGGGCCGTGAGTCCTATGGTACTTAACTAGATTCAGCCCTCAGTTTCTTAACCTGTGAAATGGGGATGATCATGTACATATCCAGTAATGTATAGTTTTGGGAATTAAATGAGGTTATGTGGGTACATGGTTAGCACAGTGCTTGCATGCTACACAGAAGACAACAAATGTTAGCTGTCTTTATCATCATTGTAGAAATTTATGGTATGGTGTTCTTTTCCCATGACATGATAGTGTATTTTTTCTCAGGCAGCTATCATCTCTTCTTAAATATAATGTATAGGAGCTTAATATTTATTCATGGAGTGAGCATGCCATAATTATCTTTTTTATTGAAGGTTGGTGTTTCTATGTTTTAGTTATTATATATAACTGCAGTGAGCAACTTTATATGTAAAGCTTTTCCCGAGTATGATTCAGTAGGATATATTCACAGAAGTGAAGTTGTTTAGTAAAAAGGAATGACCTTGATTTGCATTAAGCTGTTGTCAGAAAAGCGTTTGCCGATTCTTTTATCAGGGGCCAGGGATATAGCCCAGCAGCACAGTGCCTGTCTGGCAAGTGCAAGATCCTGAGTTTGATTCCCAAGACAAAAAAAATGCTGTGATCAGCAAGGACCTAAAGAGCCAATTTTTCAAATAATCTTTCCTGATCTTATATATAGCTAGCTTTGCTACTTGGATAAGTGAAAATTGGTATCTTATCTTTGCAATATATGGCTTTTTTCTTTTGCATACAGATTTGTTCAATTAAGTTCAGTATGAGTGTAGTTTTAAAAGGGCAAGAGACTCTACCTCTGTATAGGAATATTTAAACAGAGCATTTTTCTTAGAAAGGCGGGGTTCTGGAAGCCCCCAGCCTAGCTTTTTCTCTTTGACCCCTTCCCAGGTGAGCATTGCTACCCTCAGACACTTACAGCATGATTTTGAGTTATGCTCGTCTAGTCTTTGCTATAATTAACACACTGTTTCAAAGCATAGCCTGCACTTACTAAGATCTTCCTATTAAATTAGAATGAGTTCCCATTAGAGTTTTAGATGGAAATGTTCCGTGAATGAAGCCCACATTTCTGTTGATGGACCATCCGCTGGGGCCCTACGCGAATCCAGTGCTTGGGACAGCGTGTGAGATTGTGATGGATGTGGCTGCACATTCCAGGTGGCTTTTCCCTCTGGGAATTGAAGCCTCTGCTGCCCTATTCCTTCCTGGCTCTGGGCCTTGTCTGTTGGGAGATCTGGTTCTCGGGCATATTGTACCCTCTGACTGCCTTTGCGGGCTGCCGTTTCAGAAACTGTCAGCCGATGCCTCACAGAGCTGCTGGGACAGCAGAAGCCTCCTGGGAGGACTCTACCAGAAGCCTTTGGAAGCCTGCACCTTGACTCACCACTAGGTGAGCCTGATGTGTCCCATGCCTCCAGCTCTGGAGAGACCCTGGCCCCAAAAACCTGCCACATGAAGTGTGTGTGTTACGGCATTGGGAACTTTGCCACCTGCATCACAGCTAGGATCCAGCTAGCATTTCTGCTTCTCTTCCTGGACAAGTGCCAGGTAAGTTTCTGGATCCACCTTCATCTGCCCTCAGCTGGTCTTGCACACAGTATGAGTGCGTTGAAATACTTCATTCTTCCCTTGTAGACTCCTAGAAGTCACTGCTGGGTCTATGACCCTTTGTTCAGCCCCCTGGAAATCGCAGTTCTTAACACCCTTGGTGTGACAGTTCTCAGGGAGAATGAGGTAAAGGACTTGGGGGAAATGGGGGGCAGGCTATGTAAATCTTAACCAGACCAAGCCCAGGCTCTGCCCATAGACACATTTCTTGGAAATAGTGTTCATTCCTCTCCCCTGCTTGCTTGCTATCCCAGAGCCTGTAAAGTTTGACTAGTCAGTCACCTCCATCCTGGTTCATCCTGTGCCCATCAGAAAAACTTAAAATCATACAAATAGTATGAAATAGAATGTGCTAAGTTTGCAAAATGCCTGCAAGGATTCTGTCCAGGAATTATGCTAATTGGTTCTTCTTGTTGCCATTTAAAAACCAAGAAGGCGCAAGGCCTATGACTGAGGTTCTTCTGGTGGGAACATGCCCTGCCAGGATCAGCAGTAAAGGGGATGGGGCCTCCTCTCTCTCTGTGATGCTGAGCCCTGTCACACTCAGCACATGGCTGGGAACTGCAGGTGAATCTGCTGCCTGGCCACCCCACGAAGAGCTGGGATTTGATATTTCCGAGACCTCTGAAAAAACTCATTTCATAGGCACAGAGCTGACACCAGGGTGAGCAGACGCCTCTGAACATAGTTTTCAGAAATAGACTGGGCCTGTGTTTCTGCCCAGGAGTTTGGTGAGGAGCAGTGAGCCCCAGAAAAGATGCTGTGCCTTCCAAGGGACATCTGAAGGGCCTTCAGTTTCAGATTCAGTGGGCATCTGAAAGTGACACGGACACATGGAGGATTCCTGAACACAGTACATGGGGACCATGACACCTGCCATCCCTCCTGTCCTTATTGTCACCAACCCAAGAAGACCCTTCATTAGCCCAGAGCTCTCATATGTTCATGTGACACACCTGTTAAATAGTGAGTTCTTCCTGGACATCACAGTTTCCCGACTTTATTCTATAATTATATGGTTTTCATAATGGAACTGTTCTAGTTGTATTTAGTGTCTTTTTCATTTGATGTTCCACTTATCTTGGTTTGTTATCCATATTTCCGTACTACCTGTGAGTGTTTCTACCTGTCCCTTTCATTCCCTAGGAAGGCAAGCGGAGTGTTCGTGGGGAACTCACCGTCTTCTATATGCTCCACTGTGGGACAGCCTTGTACAACAATCTTCTGTGGAGTAACTGGTCAGTAGATGCGCTGTCCAGGATGGTCATTATTGGGAACAGTTTCAAAGGCCTTGAGGAAAGGTGAGCCTCAGGACACTGGGATTCAGGTAGGCCTGGAGTGAAGCCCACACTAGGTTGACCCACAAACAGAAAGTGTTTCCACGACCATCCTGAATGTGAAGATGCTATTCTGTAAGAAACTGAACAGTTAACATATACGAGACCCTTAGACAAGCTGTGAAGCAAGTGGAGGCTTCACAAATGATTCTTCCCTTCTTTTACAAGACAAGAATGTTTTCAAAAAGCCATTTGATTCCTTTGCCTGTGATAGATCCTGCTTCTGTTTCATAGTGCTTAGGTGTCTGTTCTTGGCATCTCTGTTGACAACACAAACACAAATCCTACGTGCTCACATTTTCTACCTTTAACATACTGCACATTCCTCAATGTTTTGAATTCTTCCTATTTTTTAGCTCATTTTGCTTTTAAGTTGAATAAAATCATTCAACTTAGCTTTTACTTTTACTTCTAGGTTGTTGACAAGGATTCTGCAGAAAAATTATCCCTACATTGCAAAGGTATCTATCTAGTGAGGCGGCTGGGAGGGAAGAGGTGTGAAATCGTGTCTCCCTCACCAGGAAGGCTGCTTGTGTATGTGTTGGAGGAAACTGCGGGCCAGTGACGGAGGGCAGCAGTGCACTGTCACTGTCAGCGAGCATGTTTCATCTGTCTTTGTTCCAGAAGGCTTAAACATTTCAGTACATCTTAGTTTTGTTTGCAATTTCCTTTATCCTAAGTATCCATTGCCCAGCATATCCACTGCCTTTGTGGCTTCCAACACACACTGACAAACACATCTAAGTAAAAATACTCCTGTTTCCAAAAGGACAATAGGGTTGTAAGTAAAATGGAAATTTAAGCTAGAAGAGTGGGGGTTACCGTGACCAAGAAGTCTTTATATTTGGCTTTTCCTGCTCAGATTCTGGAAGGACTGGAGGAGGTGGAGTTTCCTCAGACCCCAGAGTACATGGACACATTTAACGACACTTCTGTTCACTGGTTCCCTACACAAAAGCTGAAGCGGGTACCCAGGGATCTGTGGACATTTCGGGAAGAACCTGATTACGAGGGCTGTGAGGACCTTGAGATCATCAGGAAGACAGCAGACCCTCCCACTGTGAGCCCGCCATGAGGTGCTCAGCACTGCCTACATGGAAGCTGCTGTCGGCGAGATGGGAAGGCTGCTGGGGAGGGATGCAGAGAAACCTTTTCTTTCAGTGGGCCAGATGTCAAAGGTGAGAACTGGAAATACAGCAAGGTGGCTGTCCCGTTTTAAGGACAACATGATGGGTACAAACTCAGTATAAACATGTATGAGCTTCTAAAATAGCATTTTTATATCCCTTCCTGGTGGTATGGGTTGATGTAGAGTATCGCCATGTTAGTGTGTGATGCTGGCGCTTGTGCGTGCTGGGCAAGTGCTCTACCACTCCTGGAGAGGTGACTGGATTGTGGGACACTAGACTCCTGAGCGCACTGCCACTGATACATGAGCTGCATGGGCTGTTAGGATAGGGGCCCAGCTGGAGGTGGTCCCTGGGGCTGTACCATTAGAGGGACAGTCTCTCAGGCACTCTTCCCCTATGCTCTTGCTTCCTGGCTGTCATGCGATGAGCAGCTCTACCCCGCCACAGCCTCTGCCATGTCCCTGTCCTGCAGCCAGCCCACCATGGGTTTGTGAGACTTGGGGCCAAATAAAGCTATCTTCCTTTAAGCTGCCGGTATCAGATATGTCTCAGCAACAGGATTCTGATCAGTACAGAATCCTACGCCACACCCCTAGTGCTGGAGTATCTCCTGAATACACAAGTTAGGCTTCCAAAGTGATTTAAAATTATTTATTCACAACATGTCCTTGTCAAGAACAAGTCCCCGGCCTGCTGCGCACCTGCCACAGTCTATTTGGCCATGTCGATGAGACTCTGCAGGGAGGTAGGCACCCAGGTCTTCTCACCCTGTACAAACACCACCCCTCGGTCAATGTAGATCACAATGCGGCCAAAGGTGTACAGCTGCTTCCCCTCGTGCCGCTTGCCAATGACGGGCATGAAGACAATGTTGTGCTCCTCGGCCTTGGTCTCAATGAGGTCCTTAAAGTTCATAGGCACAGAACTGGCAGCCGCGCCAATGCCCCTCTGGGCCATGTTCTCGGCTTCCCGTCGCTCCTGCATGGCCTCATACTGGAAGTCCTTCCTCCGCTCTGTGTGGGTGAGATAGGCGATGTTCTCCCGAGCCCCTGGCTGCATGTAGGCACCTGAGGGACACAGGAGGGAGAACAGTGAGAGGCGGCATTCCAAGGAGTTCTGAAACTGACCCTGCGACATGGGCCAGGTCTGCACTTATGACACAGAGGGCAGCTGTGCCCCGAAGACAACGGAGTAACAGGCAAGTATCCCTGGGAAAGATACAACTGGGTCATACAAATACGGCTGTGACAACCATGCCGACACGTAAAGAGCACACCCAAGGCAGCTGGGCAGGAGCCAGAGAACGAAGCAACAAAGCACTGCGGGCAAGGAGGTGAGCCCTGAGCTGGGCTGCACTGAGTCGGTCTGTGCTGAGGGACAAACACAGACCTGGGCATGGGTATGAGGTGACAGCCAACAGAACCCACTGGACAACAATCAGCAGAAGAGTCAGTACCTATTCAGGCAGCCAGTGCGGACCAGAAAGCAGATTGTCACTGCCGTGTTTAGAAACAAGGACCCTGGGCCCAGGACATGGTAAGTAGGAACCCCTACTCACCAACGTTAGAAGACACCGCCCTGTTCATGATATCGAGGGCTTCATTAAATTTGTCCTTGACGGATGGGTGTGCCAGCACTTGGTCAGAGAACATGGATTTCCACCCCAGGTACCACTTGGTGATCTCTTCATAATTTGGGCTGTTACTGAGCCAGGAGCACAGCACCTGCCAAAAACAGATGAGATGCTTGAATCCCCAGAGGCAGCAAACAGGAGAATAATTTCCCAAGGCTGGTCCTTGAAGCTGGTGATACCACTGTGCGGGGCTTGTAGGAACTGAAGAGCCTGGCATGGAAGAGTGGCTGTGGAGTTGGCCTGGTAGCTAAGTATCCTCCTGAAAGACCTCCTAGTCCCCACCCCAAGGAGCTGTTTGAAGAGCTGACCTGACAAAATGCTTAGAACAACAGCTAGCACATGACATGTTCAGCAAACAGGCCACGCTCATGACTCACGCCTGCCCACCTCATCCTGAAATTCTTTCTCATATGCGGCAAGGCCTTAGCAGGAAATTCAGTGACTTCCCCAGCTGCCACCCTGTCCTCCCAAAGCCAAGCAGAACACAGCACACCTGGAGCCACTTGGGGAAGAAGTGCTTCTCAAGGAGCCCCACGAGGCTGGAGACGGAGATCATCCCTTCCCAGTCGATCACCCAGTAAAAAGCGTCCATGTGCTGCTGATGGGGATTAATGACCAACTCTCCTAGACACATCCCTGCAAGCAAAGCCATGCCTAGTCTCAACTTCTGTCTTAGCAAAGTTAAAGGGCAATTACCACCAGAGAGAGCAGCTTTGTTCTGCTCTTAAAGGTCGATTTTAAGCTCTTGACATAGCAATTCTTAAAAACCATTTATTTCTCCTACCCAGAAATAACTGCCTAATAATTCAGAGTGAAATGGCAGAAAAACTTCAGATCAACAATGGCTATCCTGTCACCAGAAACCAAGACAGCGCCAATCAGGCAAACCATAAGGCAATGTAAGCCTGACACTCACTACGAACTTTCAGGCACTGCCATGACCAAACAGCAGAAAGGACACTAACTACATTTACAGGCGGCCCCTGCCCAGAATGGCACATAGCAAGCATTTCCATGAATTCAAAGGCCATGGTTTAGTTTACTTCACGACCATTGCCTGCAGACCATGGTACCAAGAGTGAATGGCAGACTTGGAATGTATGACCCCATTTTCTTACCCAGCTTAGGCACAATGTTCTTGACCATGAAGGCCTCCCAGGAGCCAGGGGTGAAGACATCTTTCCAGGGCTGGAGAATGAGCTTGGCTGAAGAGTCGCTGGGGTGCCACTTCTGCAGGGCACTGGACAGCTTGCTGCGGATAGGGGAGTAGAGTGGCTCCAGGCGTGTCCGCATGAGGGGCAGCCATGGGTGGATCCAGGAGTGGATGGGGACAGTGTCTGTCAGTGGGTTCCAGCTGTCCACCTGCATGGCAGTGGGCAAGGAAACACAGCCCACCCTGTCAAGTTACAGGCAAGGGCTGCCAGAGAGGAGGACCATGCATGCCTAGCTAAGGGCCGCAATGCTCTGCCTGCGTGTGGAAGACACAGCCCCCTTTTAGGGAGGAAACATCAGGCACAAAGAGCAAGCCAAGACGCACTGTAGGCACTTTGCATTCCACATTCCCTGAGTGGAGACACTGTCACTGAATCTCAGAAATGCACAATTCTGATTTCATTGATACTTCCAAAGAGAATGAATTCCCTCTTCTAGGATGAGAGGGACAAAAGCACTGGCAAAAAGACTAAAGCTCTGTTTAGGGTAAGTTATATTCAAAACTTCCTATAATTCCAGAAATTCTAAAATCGAGATCATAAAGGAGAAAACGCTAAACCAGTCTCCAAAGTGCCCAATGGCAGCAGTTTCCCACACTCTGCCTTACCTCCTTCTGCAGCTTGGGGAAGATGAGCTGGTCCAGTATGTTGTCTAAGATCCACACAGGAATAATGTGCACCCAGCTGTCCAGAAAGTCTACCATCGGGTCACAGTTTCTTGGCTGCCACTGGGTGACAATATTTCGAACAAAAGGCATCCAGACTTCCCATATTAGCCTATGGAGAAAGGCAGAGGGCAGGTTTGGTGGTTGTTCTGATTGGTTTGAAAGCCCTCTAAGCACACCACCATCTGCCATCTCTAGAAGAGACAGAAATCCAGCACAGAAAGCCACTAAGCCGGTCCCCACCCTGGTTAGACAGATGTCAGCCTGCTGCTGCCCCCTCATAATGTGGCTACCCTTTGACCCCTGGGGTTCAGTCTTCAGGATCACATGGGCTCATCACCCCCAGCACAGAGATACTTTCCAGGCACCAGGTGCTTTCCCCTTAGCTGGCACCTCTCACGCTCTGGGACACAGGCTGAGTCACCTCCCCCCAGAGGTCCCTGCTCCGATCCCACCCCAAGCAGCTGTTTGCCTTCGTTAATTTGCCACTTTTGTGTCCACTGTTTCCTGCATCGTGTCATTCCTTCCATGCTACCTGCCATTTCCACAGCACCAGGTACTCCTGGGCAGTACTCCCAGGGTACACCCAGCACTGAGCACGCTGGCCACTCTCAACAAGTGAAGGCTGAGTGGACGAATGAATGAATCTTAATTCCCAGAGTGCCAGCATGCAGCACAGGGTTCATAAGGGCCAGAGTCAAGCTGTCCCCAGCCTTTGCCTCCCAATACCACCCCCCCACCCCCACCCCAGCAAACAGCAGGGCTTGCCCTGGGGACCTGTGAAAGGCATCTGCTGAGAGGTCTTGGCCACCATGTGACAAGAGCTGGTCGTTCTCCAGGAGGCTCTTCCACTTGGAAACAATCTCAGTGCCATAGGCACAGTCCTGCAAAGAGAGACCTTGCAGGTTAGCCAGCCCTCCTGCCCTCTACACAACCATCAAGAAAGGGCACACCCCAGGAGGGGCAGGTAGGCAGGCAGACACTCCCACAACTTACTTTGAGGGGGTCCCACTCCTTGAAGTAATCCTTCATGAGTGGGTAGACAATGGCCACTGCAAGGTCCATGCGGTCCGACATCCGATACTCCTCATAGTATTTGTCCTGCAACGTTTCAAAGACTCGGGCACACTCATCCAGGGTGAGTGGGTCACTGCAGCTGGGCTGCATGCGCCGTTCACACTCCTCCACCATCTCCAGCACCTTGCTAAGGTTGGAGATGACCCGTTCCTCATGGTCCAGGACCTCAGACATCTTCTCCAGCTCATGCGAGAGGTTGACCACCATGTCACGCTCATACTGTAGCTGCCGGTCATTCTGGATGATCTCCTGCTCTGTGAGGTCGATGAGCAGCTGCAGGTTGTGCTCCAACTCAGGCAGCGCAAAGCCTGGGACCTTGGCCTCTTTGCCAGGCAGGGGCGGCAGTTGGGACTGCAGAGGCAGCCCATCATCTGGCATGTTGTGCTTATGGCTGATCTGGCTGTAGCTGTAGTACACCTTCTGCTCCCGGCCCGTCATGTCTATGACCTTGCACAAGGGAACGGAAAGGAAGCAGATTAAAGTTCACCACTGCTGCCTGCTAAGTACCACCAACCAACAAGTGTGAGAACCACACTACGCAATAGTGCTCAAGAAGGGCTCTGCAAGCGGACTGCACTGTACTGTACTGAGGAGCTGCAGAGGACAGGACAAGTGCAAAGAGCAGTTCCAGACCGATCCCTCAGACACCCACACAGAAAGCAGATGTTAGGAAAACCAAGGAAACATCAATAGAGACTATTAGCAGAATGCATTTTCTTGGAAAAGAAGGGACCATACTGCTTAAAGCAGTTAACAAAACTGTATTTATAATCAAACTGTGGCATTTTGTTAAAAACCACATATTTAAGCACACAAGCATAGAAAAAGACCTAGAAGAAAGTACATTAAGATGCTAAAATTTAGTAATCTTTGGAATGATAAAAACTATTTTTCATACTTTTGTATTTCCTAATTTTTAAAAAATGCCCTGCATATGACTC